TGAAGAATACAAAGTAGCATTTTGGTCTGTGTCGTAATAGTAATTGTTTAATTTAACAGAAAAATTCGAAATAATTTGTTTTAAAATATTTCCAAATTGTGAATATACAAGTTTGACGTAAGAATTGCATTACTTTTCAATCTATTTTGACGTGAATCTCTAGCTTTGAGAGATTTTAATTTAAGTCGACTACAGTTTTCCTTTTGCCAGAAATACCCAACAATTATTTCGTAGTTGAGGACAGAAAAAACTACCATAGTAAACCATCATAAGGGTAAAAACATCGACAGGACTGAATAGAATACGAATTGAATAATATGCTTTATTAGTTTTTTGTTTAACATCTGCAATATGAATTTTCCGTCTCTGAATTCTTATAATTTTCTATTCTTATGCACATGTTCCAGACTTCGCCCTACAAGGCGTTCAAGTCTTGATGACGATGGGGAAGTTCCTGAGACTAAAATCAGGAAATGGTAACTCGATTAGACCTCTTCCTCGCCCATAACACAATTACAACTCCATGTTTTGGTGAAAACAAGCCCAAGATGAAGATATCGACCCTAGGCGCTCCCCTCCTTGCTTCCTTAGAGCCTCTGAAAAACCTCATAAATTTTTCAACCCTATCAATTACTTTCCAGTAAAATAGACCCGCCTCCTCCGCTCCCTCCTCCTTTTATTAACTCGTAAAATCTCTCTGAATTCACTCGCCTGAATTACCGGATTTCTTTTACGAGTCTAAGAAAAAACGATGAAATAAATAAAAAAAATCATCCTTTTATTGAAAACTAATTAGCCGTAGTTTACACTCATTTGGTTATTTGATCTTTATAAAGCTTAATTGGACTTTCTATTTAATATTCAAATGATCGCTTTATGCAATTACGAGGAAATTATTAAAATCTTTTGTTTCTTGCTCAGAAACGCAAGTAATTACGTCCGTTTTGATTTATTCAAACTTTTATGAACTTTAATTAGAAAACGAAACAAAACTCCTCTTTTTCATCAAGACGAGAAGTTGTTTTCTATTTATTAAAACTACGCCTAATCTAAACTTTTATATTCAATGATGATGGAGTTCTTTTATTGAGGTCTACTTGGATTTCCTGAAAAGTTCATTTGCTCTTTCAACGAGGTGGATTTTATTATTTATTTTCATATTTAAACCAGTTTAGATTAATTAAATTTTGCAATTCAATACAATCACTTTATATTAATAATTTACTAAAAGGTTTGAGATATAATATTCCTGATTATGAAAACTCAGACTTTAAAGTTTAAAAAGTACTTGATTTATGTTTATGTTTTCATCTATAAAGCTTTTTGCAGCGTTAATTTTAAGTAAAAGTAACAATCCAAACTGCTCTTGGCCATAGTGGCTAGTAGTAAATTTATTTACAAAACACGTAAATATAGTAAATTACAGTACTTGCTTTTCTTATTGTGACTGAAGAAGTTTAGACTACTTAACTTGATTTTAAAATCTCAATAAGCGTTCGCATTTTACATTAAATGTTTTTTTATACCTGATTTTAGGGAATTCCCCTATAGGGAAGTAGCTATTAGCTATTACCATAGGTGGCACGGAAAGACCCGGGACCAAATTACTTTTCATTTTTATGTCCCCAGAGGCTAAAAACATTATACGTTTAGATGTTTTATATGTGTATATGGGCTCTGGATCCACTTGAATGAGTTTGCAATCCAGGTTTAAACTATTTCAGTTTGTTTTTTCCAATTTTTTGCCCTTAAAAATTAAACATGCCCAATTTCCTTCAAACCACCACGTAGAACTAAAATAAACAATTTTTGTTATATTGAAACATTTTTTTACAATAAACGGAACAAAAAAGAACCCAAAACATTGTACATTTAAAATTCTTGTGTAGGAAAAGTAAACTGTTGTAGTTTGCTTGTTTATGGATATATTTTGATAAAACTTGGCAGATTCATTTATTTCATACTACACTATTTATATTTCACCAAGACATCTTTTCTATTCTTGTAGCAGCCAAATTAAGTACTCGTTAAATCTTATTTTATTCAAATAGGGAATAAATCACACATGTTTGGCAATCTGACAAATATTTTAGTAAAGATCCAATCAGACAAACAGAAATTCGCTTAAGCCGGGTTTTCCTAGACGCGGAAGAGGAGCGCGGAGAGCGGATAGTGGAAAAGCGATTAACAGCGATTAGCTGGCGTTCCGCTCCGCTTCTAGGAAAACAATAACATTAAATTACCTAAGACAAGTGGAGTCCGCTCACCGCGTTCCTCTCTCCGCGCTCCGCTTCCGTGCCTAGGAAAACCCGGCTTTAGTGCAGGTTTGCTGCAGGTATTTGGTAATCAGTAAAGCTTGTTTTACTAAAAAAAAACTAAAGTTTCTTATTATATCATGATCTGTTTACAAATTATATAATAATAGCAGCATCACAATGATGTTTCAAAATATTTCATCATGTTAATAGATAATTCTGGCCAGGAAATTATCATACTTGATTAATTTTGAGGGAAAGAATATACAAAATAATAGTTGATTTGTTATTATAATAACATATTTTGTATCAGAGAGGGTGATTACTTTGCGAGAGGATGGGTACATTTAGGATGCTACTTTCGACCTGCTAAGAGGTCATCATACTTGTACGCCCCTGATGATGACCTCTTAGCAGGTCGAAACTGGCTGTGGAAGACAACAATTGGATTGTCAGAATTAGGTATTCAAACCACTATTATTGGATGTTTGTGAAAGCTTTGAAAAATTGAAAACAAACTGTGAACACTTTACAAAATTTATAATTAAGTATGACAATTACGTTTGTACATTGTACATCTGAGAAAACCATTGTTAATCTTTGTTCATAAAGTATAATGCTGTACAAACTATGGAACATCATAAATATCAAGATGTTGAACAATCTAAGCTTGCTACAAGCCGTAATTATAAGTTAGAAGCTTGGATGTTTTTTCAAACACAGGTCACTTGTGGTAGTGGGGGGGGGGGGGTCTTTGATAAAGCCCAGTTAAGACCTGGCGGGTAGTTGGCAACTTCGCCTAACTCCATAAGCTTCTTCGCCGTAAGACAAAGCGGACTTTATTTAGAATATGTTAATATTATTATAGAGTTTGCCGGAGTTATAGTTGTGAACTCCCCTGCGGCAGGTATTATTTGTTTGCATAGGTTGGCAGCATACACAACTTTGGCCAACTTTGGAGCACATTTATCCGCTCAGGTGTAAAGCTCGGCGAGTCTTGCAGATTAGTTTCTTACTCCACTGACCTCCAACCTTTCATCCTTTTAAAACTGCAATTGGGTTTCTATAGCATGATTTATATGTATACATGTAAGCTCAAATATTTTTACTGAGTTTGGTCGCCATAATAAAATAAAATTGAAAAGAGTAATGGCATCGATATTAAATATTTTTGCACGATTTTCTAAAAATGAACATCGTAAAGGTAAACAAACTACCATTACTTCCTAATACATGCATGCTTACTTTATGCTTCATTGACAGTTACAATGATTTTTAACATGTTTAAGGTAATGGGATTTCTTACCCTTAAATCATTATTTGCACTTAATTAACACAGTGGTTGTTCAGAATGTTGGACAGTCCACTTTTCTACCTCAGACCTGAAGTGTTAGTACTCATGAAAAATTAAAGAATATAGATTTTTTATAGTAGATACTTACAAAGCTTGAACAGTTTTTACGAATTGAAATAATTAAACTTCTCTGTGTTGCTCAGCTGTCTTTTGACAACTCTACACAATCTCGGTGGATTTTGTGAACATTTGGCAACACATAACAAATGTGGCCAGGGATTAAAATCATTAATAGCCTATACTTAAAATAACAACGTTGTTAGACAATACTAGGGAAGTTGACAAAAAAGTCTATCACTATGACAAGAATGATGTGGCATATTATTTTCTAGGTTTGTCATCAACTAGTTGAAACAGGAAATTCTTTTGTTGAATTATACCTAGTTGCAGTTATAAATCTCAGTTGCTTTGCAACTACTACTCAGTTGCTTCCTACTAGAATTAAAATTTATACTGTTATCTATAAATAAATAAAAAATGCAAAGAGTTTTTATTAATATAAATCTGCCTGGATGGGATAGGCAAGAGCTATTCTTACTTTCAAAATTACCAAAGACCTATTTTTTATGAAGTGCTTTGCTTGTGACAATCAAGAATTCCTTGATTGAGTAATTATGTCATTCCACCAGCCAGTTTCGCAGTCCCTGTTTAAGTGCGTTTCCTCTCATAGTCATAGTTGTAAATAGTTCACACCAAGCACCTCCTTTAACAACAAGTATAGTCGATATATGTTGTCAATAGTTAAAAATAATTTTCTATCATACTGTCCGGAAAACAGCAGTTTTAAGTTCTCTGAATCTACATAATCAACATATTTGAGACACTTCAAATAGGGAACAGAAAAAACACATAGTAAATTTTTCAGTTCACTGACCTCAAACTTTTTTTATACAACTCTGCTAATATCATGATATTTTAAGTTATATTTTTCAAAAAAATAAATGTAAACATTGACAATGACTTTGTATAACCTGAAATGTGGTCTAATTTTGTAACGATTAGAAGGAGAAGGTTATTTCTACGGTTTGATGAAAGTAGTTATTTATAACTGAAGAGAAAGTGTTTTTTTGGTACTTAATCGTATTTCCAAGCTCGGCTGCACCTTGCTTGTAAATCGTGATTGCGTACCAAAAAGGACCACTTTTGCTTCTAGTGGTGAAAACTACCACGGTATTGTATTGGTATGGAATGGAGAAACTATTTCTGCATAGCATGCTACCGTACACATTTTTATGACACACTGTATAGTCTGCTGTAATCGAAAAGGTTTAAATGAAAACAAAAACATTAAATTTATATTTAAATAGGTCTGCACCTTTATTTATTTAACAAATTTAACAAATAGTAATTTCATTTAAAACTTTTGTTCAAATAAGTTTATTGTTATCAATAACATTCTGGAGTGAGGAACTACATAATTGTTTTCAAAACAATTTCTAAATAGCTTTCAGGCTACTTATACGTAGCACTTAGCACTTACTTCTATCAGTGTCATTACGTCACATAGTTTCATCAAAGTGTTTAGTATGATATTTTGAGCTTTCAATACATTTGTTAAAACATTATTTTCTTGTCATGTTTGTTGTGCAGTATTTCTAACATGTTTATTAAAAGATTTTAAAGACATTTTTACTCAAAAATGTATTTGTGTATTTTGATAAATAATAGAAATTTGTATTACATTCTTGGTTTGTACATGGTTCAATAAACCTCTCAAGACCTAGAAACATTTTTCTTCCTAAATATTTTAGTAAATTCAAATGAATTTTTATGACAGATCCTCAGTTTATTTCAATGGTTTTAAATTCACTTCAAAAATTATAAGTAGATCTTAAAACTCACAACTTAACTTCCTCAGATTGTTTAAGTCTTGTCCGAGAATCCAAAAGTAAATGTTTACAAAATTCATTATGCACCAAAACAGGTGTGCATTGCGCCCTCAACATAGTTTGGTAGGTTTGAAAAACTCTCTTCAAAACGTGTTTAGCAAAATGCTGATTATACAGATGTATTCCTCAGCAAATTGACCAGATCTCCCACTGCAACAGCACTATCACGGAGCAGCCTTAAAACCCAGTAACTCTCCTGATTGCCTCGGCTTGTTCAGTTGGACCCATTTCTTGGAAAGAGGCAAACTCCATAGTAAAGGAGCTGGTGCCAGATGTGAAGGTCCTGAGGGCTTTGGAGTAACCAAGCAGCTCCGCAAGGGGTGTTTGTGCCTCAACAATCTGAAAATCAAGTAGTAAGTGAAGTGATTTATAATAATCAGACATAAGATTTTTTGCAAGGGGACTTGTTTACTAGAGGACTTACCAAAACAAGCTTTGTAAGAAAACAAGAGTTTTAAATGTTTATATTGCTGCATATAAAAGATTTTTTTTAATATCAACAAATTAGAGATGAGTTAATGACAAAATAGTTTGAAATTTGAAAGAGACCATAAAAAAATAATATGAAGAATAAGAGGTTATAATTTAATGTTAAAAAGAGTTTACTTAATGATACAAAAAATATGTACCTATTACAAAGTTGGTTTCTTACTTCAAGAGTGGAGTTTGCAGCACACATATTTATTTAGGCATAGCAGGGTGGCTACAGAACTCCTGGAGGAAAATTCACGCATTGTTCCCGGGGTTTTCCAGTAGTAAAATCTAAAATCTTGTTTTCCTGGTCACCAAGTGTACCTACCTTTGTACTAGTGGCCTGTGGGTCCCCGATATTTTTAGGTTTTGAAATCCTTAAATATAGTAACAACAAAATGACACTAGTCAGGATTTCCCAGCAAAATTCTCGCATAGCACATGTACATCTTGGTTTTTTCTTCACACATAATTCTTCATTTTCCCAGGATTCCCTGTCTAATCTCCCTGGGTAGTGAATTTAAAAAAAAACCCTAGAATAGCAAAAGCTTGACCTGAATGATTACCTTGTTGTTTCCTCGAACGGTAACTTGTTGCACTTGGGACCTCCGCCTTGACAGGTCAGCTAACACCAAAGGTAGACACTGCTCATCTGTGACTACCTCTAGAGACATGACAGGCTCCACGAGCACAGTCCCTGCAGCAGAGAGCATCTGTAACCAGTGTTTTACATGGCTAAATATGTATACAATGTTAAAAGAAAGAATTATAGTCACAGAACAGATTACGGTTGAAATATTATTAATTATAGACCTCACTCAGCAACTTTACTGCAAAACATGCTCTTTTTTACCACCGAAATATTAAACCTACCATCTTTATCATTCATACAGATTGACTGGTTTTGTTTAAAATAAGTTGTCTTGTCTTGTAAGCGGATTGTACGAAGGTTAATGTCAAAAAACAAGCTCCAGTTGCAGCCAAAAGAGCTAGTTAAAACCCAAAACTAACGTTGTTTAATTTCATGGCTAATATTCCAGACGATCCACACTCCTATGAGAGAAAATCAACACTTCAACCAAGTGTGAATCATATTCTGATGTTTGGTTTATGTAGGAGGGAGGTGAAAGCAGACAAGTATGGAGTATGTTCTAGTTGTTAGACACATATGGAGAAAAGTCTAGGGATGTAAAAAGTATCCAAACGTGTATCCTGAGTGGTTATGGGAGTTTGTAGAAGGCTGTACGAATTTGCGCAGAGTAGGCCGGCTTTAGTCACCAATCAGTTCCATTGGAGACACTGGTTAAGGGGAATCTTTGCTTGTCAATCCGTCAACTTTCAGGGTTTACCGCTTTTCTTGGTAGTCCTTAAGATTTTCCTATCAGTTTCGCAATCTCTCATTCATTCAACCAACGATCTGCATGCAAACTTTAGTCACTGAAACACGCAACCATCCAACACTAAGCCAAACTTTGTGACCATTGTGAACAAGTGTACAGCCATATTAAACTCCTTCTATATTTTCTACGAACAAACAGGATTCCCCAATCACATGCCTCAATCCGCCATAGACTTTAATAGATGTTGACTTCTTAGACCCCACAAATTTAATCACAGGACCCGATTAAAACGATGAAACCACTCTTCGCATAGAGGAGGGGATTGACTAGAATAGCAGTCTAGAAAGTAAGGAGCAAGGTGCTGATATCAGATTTTAAATTGTTAGCGATCAGAGGAGACCTTAATGCACATACAACCCTTGCATGTTTGTTTGGTGTAAGAAGATACAACCTGCACCTCAGTAAACTAAATTTAATGACAATGACTGGTTTAAAAATACTACCTTTTTAATACACTGAGACACACTAGATGCCAATATAGTGTCTGATGTCCCTCTCCCCACCTCCAGCCAGTGAACTACGACTGTAACATCCATCACCTGCAAAGAATGTTTAACTAGTACATAAATTACAAAAGAATAAATCCTACAAAATAAATACTGTACGACCGTATAGAAAAGATGTAGTAATCAACTAAAAAACTATTTCTACAGTGAATTTGAACCTATCTAAACAAGGTTTGCTAAGCCAAGGGATAATGCGATTGGCTTAGTCAAACTCTTAGTACCAAAAATCCTGACGTACTGGGTGTAGCCTGCAGAGAATGGCCTCTGGCACTCCATGCATACCTATGGCCTGAAAGGGCTGGTTTATGAGGACACACCAAAGAGGCCCATCGGCAATGCGAGGCACACATTAGTTCTTCTGCGCGGAAAAGGTAGTTCCAGAATCCCCTATCGTGCACGGTTTGAAAATGCAGGAAAACTCTCAAAATGGGGTTTGAACAAGAATGAAAAGACAAAAGATTTTGAGGATAAAGCCAACGATAAGAAATAGCTTGGTCTTGGAGAAAATTGTGAGCATGTAGAGAAGGATCTTCCAATCCTCTGTTAGTCACATCTTATGAAAAGCAGAGGAGATCTGTGGTCCTTTTCTGACCCAAGGATAATTTGTAAGGGATAATTTGTTTGTTAACTTAGTCTACTACCGTATCAGTATTAGATATAAAGGATTGATTCTCAGGATCAAGAATGCTAAATTATTAGCCAGAATAAAGAATCAATTCATTTAGGTATCAACTGATCACTAATTTTTAAGTATCACAAGTATTACGTACTTTTAATACTGTTCATTGAAATGGCGACTATACAAAGTAGGTATTGCCAACGTAAGCTGAAGAGGAGTTGAGTCTCTGTATACTCACAGGCACTCCCAACACAGGTCCATGAGTCAGAGCTGACTCCACGCCTTGTCTGATTTGTTTCAGCTGACGAAATGTGATTGCTGATGTATTATCTATACTAGCCTTGCTTTTATCCAAAATTACAATGTCTTTCTTCTTTTCGTTTAAAAGTGTGATTGTTACTTTTACATAATGTTTGGAATTCCCTGAAAGCAAACAATTACAATAAAACTATAGTACAACAAAATCAACACCACATCTTTTGCATTTTTTAGAACACATCTTTATAGTCAGCCAAGAAAATATGATAGAAACATAGAAAATTAACTATATTTTCACCAATATGCAAATTAGGCTACGTTTTGGGCATAATTTAACCAAGTCTGTATACAAATTTTGCCTAATAATTTTTTGTTTTATTAAATTGTTAGAATAGCTTTTTTTCTTAAAACTGTTGTAAAATAACATAAAAGAAACATTGCCACAACAATTTCTATTAACTGAAACATCAAATAAACTTGTGTATTAATTTTCATTTGGTCGTTTTCAAAAATATCCATTGCGTTAAACGCCCAGAAATTTTAACCTGCAGTATTACAGCAAATGTATCTTGGTGGAGAATTGATATTGTTGAGCTAAAAATTACAGTGTTGGGCTTTTAGTAAATGCACAGAGAAGTAAGGTGCAGAGGATACACGCTGGGAAGACCGTGCACTTTCAGCTCTGTTGTGCCAGAAATATACTTGTAACAAGCAAGGAAGAGCCTGAAAATTCCTTTAGGATTCTACATACAGTAGACTCCCTCTTATCCGGACACCTTTTAACCGGACATTGGTTTAACCGGACTACACTCGGTAGAAATGACATCTCTTTATCCGGATAATTTTTATCAGTACATCGGTTTATCCGGACTAGATCGGCAGGAAGTGGGCGGTACTGAAACGACTATTCTTGTGGGAAAGATTTGAGACTGGTGATTACGTGTCTAAATACAATGCTGTCCTAATTTTAAGTCAAATACTATATAGAGTATGCATTTAAACGGTCCGTTTTAACAAGATTTTGGGGACGTCGGTTTAACCAGAAAAACTGTTATCCGGACTGGCCTCGGTCCCGAGGAGTCCGGATAAGAGGGAGTCTACTGTAGGTCACAGGGTCTTCCTCCACCATGAAAGTTGAAGTACTTGAGAGTGAGGGGGGCAGTGTTGGACTTTGCCCTAGATAGATTCAAGATTCAAGATTCAAAGATTCTTTATTCACACAGTACAAATTTTCGTACATGAATAGTGTCTATTGTTACTTACTACCTAAATTAGCAATAAGAAACATTTAAACAAAATACTATAGGCTACATTATTTTAAATTGAAATTACTATAATCTTCTATTTTGTAAGGTGCAAGGTCAAGTAAGAATGCCTTCAGATTTTTCATAAATTTAGATTTGTCTTTTTCTTTTTTTTAAAAGCTAGGAAGTTTTCTAAAAAAATAGTTTCCAATATAAGAAGGTTTATTTTTAAAAAGTTCAAGTCTTGATTTTTCTTTAGCTAAATAATTTTTACCCCTTGTATTATAATTATGCACAGGCAATTCTTGAGTCTCAGCAATATTTAAAAAATATTTAATTGTTTCAAAAATATATAAGGCGTGAACTGTAAAAATGCCCATCCCTTTAAAATAAGATTTGACGGACTGGTTGTAGTTTAATTTATGTATTATCCTGATAGCTTTTTTTTTGTATTTTCAAAATCTTTTTCAAATTCTTTTTCTTTGTCCCACCATAAATACTAATTCCATAGTTAATATGTGATTCAATATGAGCATGATATATCATTTTCTGATACCAGCAGTGATAGACACCACTTTAGTGTGTTAACTCTGTACCTTATTTCTCTGTGACAAATTTAACTTTAAAGGAATATTTATTTTTCAATAATTAGGGTTTGTACAAAACGGCACACGGAAGATTTCTCAGATGCCTTTGACGTCACTAACTGCTGACGTCACTTTGAGGGAACACCAATACCGCAACGATACGGTTTTGAACCATCGGTCTCGGTGGTGTAGTGGGTAGCGTGGCGGGCTGATAATCCGAATATACCGGGTTCGAATCCAGCTGATAGCACTAACTTTTTGTCAAAAATTTGTTTCATATCAGCAAGTTTGGTTGGTTTGGTTAGGTTATGACCATGCAATTAATTGATAATAATACATTAGTTCAGTAGGTGAAGGTAAACTATCTATTGCATGCACCCCACGTTTTTCGTTTTAAATCGTACAAGTATTTATACTCTCTCAACATATTTATAAATTATTTGTAAATTATTTTCTACTTTTTAGGGCGTTTAAAAACGTTTTGTTTAAAAAAGTTTTTTATTTATAAATTATTTTAGATTAGTAAACCTTCATTCGATTTTTCCATTATCAGCACGTTTGGTTAGTTTGGTTAGGTTATGACAATTTAATTTAATAATAGAAAAATTATAAAATTGTCTGTTTCTTCAGACGCAGCAGTTAGTGATGTCAAACGGCACCTGAGAAATCTTCCGTGTGCCCCACCGGGGTTTGTAGAAAACTGCATCCAGCTGTAATTAATTACTGGGCAGATTAAGAATCTACTGTTCTTCAGTCTGCATTAAAATAATATAAGTAATCTATCTTACTCCATTCTACATTCGCTTAGCATTTGTTTTCATATTCTGAAATACACACCTGGATATCGACACGGTCTATACAAAATGATTAATGACATTAAAAGGTTTATATTGTAGGTATGTTACCAATAGAGTGGCTGGCAGAAAAGGTATCAGTGACTGGAGCTGTCAGCTTCTCACGGTAGGCAATCTGCATCTGTCCAATATCAGCTTCTATCTTATATTCTGATCTTATCCTCTCTCTGATCACCTCCAAGTGAAGCTCACCCATACCTTCGAGTCATATCAATTGTAAATTTTACAATAAATTGATCACTAATTAAATTATATGGTTTATATTACCTGTCTGTCAGTGATCCTATTGTCGTCTTTGGGTACCGGTTTCGGGATTAAAATCCCATCACCAGGCGGTTAAAAAGGTAATTTCACTCAAATTGAGGTTGTCGGTAAACACAAAAACACGCATATAAAACATAAAACACAAAAACACAGATGGACATTTAACAAATATTTGTTACAGGATACTAAGACGCGGGTAGATGCGTGGTCATGACTGAGGTGTCGTTGCTCCTCTCCCTTCTATGGAATGCCGGTGGCATTGATATCCTATTCCAATCACTGCATCATAGATAATGTTGGATTTGAAAGAGGTCTGTTCAAACAATCAAATGAGCAACAATGTGTACGTTTGGATAACTTTGTTTACAATCTACTTTGCTCAGGAGCCTGTGAGCTGTGTTTAAATAAAATCATTGTAAATAAGTTGGCATTTAGCAGCAAAAACATCTTGTGTACCAATACTTAATTGGCTCTTACAACTGCAGGCAATAGGTTGCATAAATGTTTTCTGTGATTGCTGGCTGTAAACGGGTGTTTGGATACATTTCACTTACCGGTATTTGAGTGTTACATACATTTTATGAAGGTACCCGTATATGTAAAAAGCAAAACTAGTTAAGTACGAGTATTTTTTGCCTAAATCTTTTAATGTGTTACAAACATCCAAACATCATCGGTTAGTACAAAATGTTAGTTGTTTTACAGATTGTGTTCACACATACAATTTTATTTGAAGAAATGGGATATTTACAAATTATGTTCTTATATCTGTGTCAGGGGACTGTTTTCTGTATATCTGTTTTCTGTGTAGGGCTATTAGCCAATATTAGTTTTTGGCGATTGACAAAAATTGAAAATACAATTGAAATAGAATGATCCAAGTTCTTAAAGTTGTCAGACAGATTATAAAAATTTTAATTAGAGTTGAAGATTAACTCACGAATGTACTTGTAACTTTTTCAACCAATATTTCTCTCTATTAATATTTTTATGGATAACTATAGGCTTGTTATTTCATAATAAATTTAATCAATAGTTATTTGATCAAAAATTATCAGTACCTGCTAAAATTGTCTGTCCAATCTCTTCATCAAATGACACTCTCAAGCTTGGATCTTCTTTTTGTATAGCTTTTAAAGCGTCTTCAAGACTTTGTTGAGAAGCCTGTAAAAACAACTTCACTAAGTATGATATTTTGGTTATTTTTGTTGCTTAAATATTACACAATAATGAACAAAATAATTATTTGTTCCAATAATATCGGACCGAGTACTAGCATTTATTATTCTTTTTTGTGTTTATTGTTCTTTTTTTACACTTTTATGTACTGTACTACAGGAGTTAATCATTAACACCAATTCTAAAATGTTTCTGAGTGATAACAGCAAAGGCATTGGCCAAAATCTTTCACAACCATATTGGGCACAACTCCACAACAAAAACGACCAAAGCAATAAATGAAATGTGAAATGTGATACAGCCCGGGAATCAAGCTTAGAACTACAGTCAAACAACACTAAGAAAACACATGGTGCACGGTGCAGGGCGATAGAGGAAGGGGTTGCTTTTGGCGGAAGATAATGCATTTCCAAAAAAAATTTTTTCGCCACCGAATCGCCAGCTACCGGCACTTGAGATTTACCCTACTTGTAAGCCTTTTGCAGGCAAACAATTTGTTATCTTGAAATTTTTTTGTAATTTATGTAAATATATTTAACAAATTTAGATTTAGAAGTAGACAAGAATAATGGTACCAAACACGGTAGTATAAGGTTTACAACAAAACTAGCTGTTATTGAATAGTTTTCTTTAATAATGTAACTCATTTACAAATAACCAAACATCCACACAGCCCATTAGCTGCTCCCGCGACCGGCAGTGGTCTGCCATTGCGCAACCACAGTGAACGTGTTAAGATAACGCTGGTTACCACAACACACCACAAAGCCGCAACAACAAGTAACGGGAGAGATGAAATGATAGTGATAGCACAACTGCCAAAAAGTGTTGCTTTTGATGATAACTTATTAAATCAAAGAGTAATCCTATAGATTCAAAGGGTTTGTAATACCAGAGATGGAGGCTCTATTGAGCAAAAGAACACAGGATCCGGAATCACAGCTCCAATGTTGAATTTCGCTTCTGCTTCTTCCTCTGATAACTTTTCCTTTTTCATAAGTGAAAGCTTAGCTTTACTTGCTGCAGATGCACTTGATGTTAGGAGATCTCCAATCACAGAAAACTGCAAATTTAAAATCAAATAAGATCATGAAAAACACATCTACTCTGTGATCATTTATAAATATCATTCACATTCACCCATGCACCTTACGAATTACTTTATTAAAGGTACTAAAGTTTGACTTTTGACTAACCTTCAGTCCAGAAGCTGCAGCAATATTCCCCTGTGTCACCTCTGAAACTTCTTCAAAATCATCTGCCTCAACCACCATCAACTTTGTAATGGTTTCACTTTTATCTTGTTTCATGTTGTATAACCTCTGACCCTAATAAAATAATAAAGCATATTTTATTTTTTTAGATTAAACTCTAGACTAATCAACACAAGTAGACTTTTTATCCCATTGTAAATTTTGAAACTCGTTTTTCGTGTCTAGTTCAAGTCCGGTGACACTGTTGGCTAGTGTAGACAAAATTTTGTTAGTTAATTTCATTTGTGCTTTACTGTTTGGTTATATAACTAGAGGATAAGTTATTGTTTATGATTATATAGTTTTATTTGGCTGAACGGGGTTTTAAATGACTGACATAACAAGAAACAAATTGTAAACAAAACACAAGATCTACAATGGACCGGACAGAACTAACGATAAAATTAGCTTCAGCTGTTCCATAAGGATAGGAAATCTACTAAGGGAATATGTTTTATCTATGTTTAAACTTAGATTGAACTAGCTGAACCCGGCAGACGTTGTCTTGCCTTTGACTATTTATAATCCCGCGGGCTTTGCCCCGTTTAACTTCTTAATTTTCAAGATGATCTCGTTCGCATGGCTCAATCACGTCCTGATTGAAGTTCGTTCGCTACGCTCACTCACCTTTAGGTTGGAGCTCGTTCGCTGCGCTCACTTGCCTTCAGGTTAGCTCGTTCGCTACGCTCACTTGCCTTCAGGTTAGCTCGTTCGCTACGCTATCTCGCCTCCAGGTTGAAATTCGTTCGCTACGCTCACTCACCTTTTGGTTGCAAATTAGCTGTTGTCATAAATGTAAAAGAAATAATAGTGCTGCACCCTGTTGGTAATCCTTGTAACTTTAATGCTATTGAACATCATAGAACAGAACCAACTTGTTTAATTGAAACAGCTGTTAAGATTCATTAATTCCATTTCTCATAAGGTTAACATGGGAAACTCCAGAGCCACTGGGGTGGAGCCGATTGGACGGATCACGAAATTGATGGTGTATAAACCTATTCCATGACATTCTACACGTATGTACCAAGTTTCGTGGCAATCGGTTCAGCGGTGTCTGAGTTTATCACTTCCAAACAAACAAACAAACAAATATATATACAAACATCCTCTTTTATACTTATAGATTTATAATAGCTCAAAATCATCTTTATCTTTTATTGCAATTTAATTGTGTTGCTTTCAAGTGGATTTCTCGGTTGGATTTCATCAAAACTAGAACCCACTTCAGGTAAACTGACCAAAGAGTCTTTAGACGTATTTTATATTTTTATGCAGATAGAGGGTAGTAAAAGAAAACTAATTCCAAACCTTTTAAGTTTCATCAAAAATTTCTTATTGTGATATGATTAACAGACTAAACTTAACTTGAAGTTAAAACTTACACGAAAGCACATAGGTTATCTAAAGAGAAAATACATTTTATCACATGTTTAATTTCTAGTTAAATATTTTATTTTAAATATACAGTTTAAAACTTACGGCTTACAAGATTTTAAAGACCTTTTCTAGTTTTCCAGTGTAAATTCGTAGAAAAGACAAGGGTCCTTTGTGCTTATCATGGATAACCTTGAATACTCTCGCACTGGGAGTGTCTTTGAAGTAATTGTAGACAGATAGTTGGGGACAGTCTGTAGGAGATGGTAGATAGTCAATGACTGCATTCATGATTGTTTGCACTCCAATGTTCTTGTATGCACTGCCACACATTACCGGTACCCCTGTCTGTAAACCATAATCAGTCAAAGCGTAAATCAAGCACTTAGGGCCAGTACAGTTTGAGATTTAAAATTCCCGAGTATTTATAACTGCAGATAAATATTTTTCTTAAATGCTTGAGTATTTCTGATTATTCAGCTACACACTTAACATATTGAGTTTTAATTTAGTATTTTCCATTTAAATAAACTTGGAAGGTAAGTATCATGTATATTTTAATTTAGGTTATAAAATTATTAGAACATTAGAACATAAATGCAAATTATAAGTGCAACCACAAAACTATATCCGTGTATATTGATGTAAATTTAAAGGGAGAAGGGTTTATCAAATTACCTTATTAATAATACTTACTGCTATTGGTACATTCATATTTGTAACTAAAGGAAACAGTCTGCGTATCGAGTGTATTTGAGTCTTGAGTATGATAAAGGTTTTAGTAAATCTATTGTCAGTAATGTTGTTCAGATACATAGTCTAAGCATGAAAGAAAATATTTTTGAATTAGACTTGCCAAGTTTTACGAGGATTTTTGGTCAAATTTATTCATTTTTTTCATTTTTATTCAAATTTCACTATCCTCCTTTTAAAGTACAATTACCTTCTACAAAAATTCAGATGTTTGTATAAGTTGGCTTAACAAAAAATTGTATATTTTGTGGGAGAGTATAAATAAACATAGAGTTATTTTTCATAATTTATCCTCCAGAAAATCTTGAGAGTTGGTTCAACAAATATCACAAACTACACCCTCTAACAAACAAATGAGCATTATTTCTTACTCATTTTGACATAACAACCCCAAATGAACTATGTAACACATTGCTAGTGATTATACTTTTTACAAATACCCCCACTTTTGGGTACTTACACAGGCCTGGGGTAGATATACCCATTTATATAGGGTGAATACCCATTTATAACCCACTGACCTAACCCACTGGGTATTTATAACTTTGAGCCGATTTCCCCAGTAATTAATTATACACATCATAACCAATCAATATGTTAATAACTTGCCTGAGCCAGTGTAACTCTTCTGAGTGCTTGAGAGAGGTCTTCTGATGTAACGTCTGCTAGTGACTCTAGCTGCAGCACAGAGTCAGCAAGTTGACCGTCCAGGTCTGTGAGAGTGTCCGTCAGTTGCTCTCTAGCTTGCATCATCGTCTCGTACAGCTGAGGATCTGCAGAGGAGAGTGTGGCTCGAGTTATCTCCTCCCCCCTCTCCCCTCTCCAAACACACCTCTCTTGTCGTACCACATCCACCAGACCAACCAGCTTACCTCTCTCTGTGGGGGAGCAACAAATAGAATCAATGGTCCACTTTAGTCCATTCTTAAGCCTAGTCCACACTAGGAGACTGAGTCGGCTGACAGACAGTGGACAGTCGGTAGACAGTAGGCCGATAGTCTGCCTACAGACTTTCAACACTGTTTCGGATACAAGTTTCCAATTTGTTTTGCGTCCACACCAGCCAGCCAGTATTTATCAGTATTTTGACTGAAGAGGACGTGATTTTATTCTGTGTGTGCTTACTTCTTAACCATGTGGCTGTTATACTGATGAAGAGGACGATGGTGGACACGCAAATCTCTCAAGGAAAGTTTGTCCTTTTTTCAAAACTTACTAATATTAGACCTTCAATTAAAAGATGGTGCAGAATTAAGAAACCTTACAATAATGAATCCTACAGATTTTGAGGTTTTGTTAAATGCTTTGTTGGTCCAAAGTTAAAGAAATGTACATGTTACAATGCTTCAATTTCAGTCCTCAACTCGACGCTAAACAACATCGGGTTTGGGTTGTATCCGATCTCCTGTCACCAGACACATCCACACATGCGGACTTGAGACAAAAGACTTGTATGTTGTCTCCGTGCTTTCCGTGATTTGTATGAGAAACAGAAACACAGTATTTTGTCTCCAGAAACACGTAAATTTGTCTGCTGACAGTCAGCCGATCATCTGGAGACATCGCTAGATACAAAAGGCAACACTACGGAGACAGTCAGCCGACAATGTTTCTGGAGACAAATCGCCATGTAAACAGGATTGTCAAAACCACAGCAAGTCATCATGACTTGCTTACACTTTGTAATCTTCTGATTTTTTCAGATTTTTAACAACTGCTTAGGAAAATATCTGTGGTATCAACATTTACCATTTAAAGTAGGTAAATTAGTTAAATAGTTTCAACAACTTAACTTAATGAAAATAGAAGAGAATTTTATGAGATCACCATAATCACTTAACAACAATTTACACAGTTTTTTCATTGGTTTTCACCCCCGATTTTTCAGTGGCAAAAGTACATCTACCCTGACGATCCTTATAAAGAACATTGGTTTAGCCATTTAAAAATCAATGCACCACTGCCTCACTCTGATTTTACCCTCGTATTCTCTGGCCAAACATGTCACAAGCTTCGGATAGTCTATTTCTGTTTGATTTTTTTACAAATAACCCTTTCAAATTGCTCACTTCAAAACTTTTTTTGAATATCAGGAATTTTCAATATCAGAGCTTGTTTTGAAAATCCACTGAATAAAAATGCTAGAGTGTGCTATTGGCAACGCCTAAATGTGTGCTGAATGGGGAACACCAAAATAATGGTGCCAGGTCCCCACTGCCATGTGAGGCCAAAACAACTGTTTCATTCTGGATAACCCTAGACCAAGCAAAGTGCATAAAATAGTTAATTAAATTGGTTTATTGATTTAATAAACTCCAAAACGAATAATTATTACTATGAAAACACAGATTTAAATTTTAATTAGCAATATTATACCTTTTATAGGTAAAAATAGAGCCAGCGGACAGACATCGAGTTTAGATCGTAGAGAATCCAATGATAAATGCAAGTCTGCATCTTGGCGATCCATTTTGTTGGTAAATACAATCCTTGGTATATGGTAGTGGTCAGCTTGCCTCCATACTGTCAGAGTCTGAGCTTCTACTCCTACAACAACAATTCTTCAAATTTATGTTCCATTAAGTATTATGTATGTATTAAGTATAAGTATATGTATGACTAAATTTATTTTCATATGAAGTTCCAAATTGATGTGTTTATGTTAATATATTTCTTGGCACATACTTACACTATATTACAAGCAAAACAGTGTAAACTAGAACCATTTATGACAAGGGCTACCTGTATTAACCTTACCTGCTGATCCATCTAATACTATAACAGCTCCGTCCATGACATTGAGAGCTTGTTCAACTTCCATGGTAAAGTCAATGTGGCCAGGTGTATCAATAAGATTGAAACGATGTCCGTGCCAAGCAAACGTCACTGCAGCTGATGTTATAGTTATACCTGTGGCAATATGATTATAGGTTATAAAATAGAGTGAATGCAATAATTAGTAAATAGTAGATATGAAATAGCCTAGAGTAAAAATGTTACTATTTAAACATTTACAATTAGCAATTTTTTTACTACCGACATTAAGAATCATTTGAATTATTCCACTATAGAGGCTCCAACCAAAATATTGATTAAATATATTTTTGAAAGATTTATTTGAAAGCTAGTATAGATAGAAGTCAATATATGTTTCAATTATAAAAGATGTGTATATCTGTAGGCTTACATAATAGTATTTCCCTAAGGTAGGATTATGCTTTCTTGAGTCAATTTTAAACTTATAAATAAAGAGTCTAAACTAACACATTATTGCGACATGTCTCTCCATGGGAATAAATCTGACAATGTTAAGTTGCATGGTCAATAAAATAAATTAAACATGCACAAATCTATCATGAGAGAAGAATCAACAGATGAGGGCTCTCATTGAGTTGTTAAACAAATTCATACTAAATGCACTATGATACTCTTTCATTTTTATATGATAATAGTATTGATATCGCTCATTAGAAGTAGTGTAAATTTGGATATTCTTAAAGCATAAATAAAATAATACATATAGATTATAATCTCACCTCTATTACGTTCTTGTTCCATATAATCTGTGACTGTATTACCAAGATGCACTTCTCCCATGTTTCTAATTTTTCCCGAATAAAAGAGCATTCTCTCAGTTGTAGTAGTCTTACCTACAACAATATTGTTGTTTAAGCAATCCTTACTTCAAAAACTGAAAAATAAATGTGCATACAGAAACTGCGCCTCACTGTCTAAACACATCCTCCCCTTTTCACCTGCGTCGTCAGATGTGTAAGTTTATTTGAATTAGGTTATTAAAAACACCACTGAAGCCTATTCTAAGAAATAGAAAAGATTACAAGTTCAATGTTTAAGAATGGCCTAGTTAAGTAAAGTTTAATGAAAATATCCGTTTCCGAAGAAATTGTGTTTTTGGTACGGGTTTCCACTATCCAGACTTCTCACAGAATAACACAAAGGAAAAAGGTTTTCACGGCCATTTATACACTTTCTAACTCATTTCCACACTTTACCCTTACTCCTCACATTGATGCCATAACCTTCAGTCATCTGGGGATGAATATTGGTATCGGATAAGTTTCTTCTGGTTAAAAATCATATCACTGACTTTATCTCTCAGGCGGCTTAAGATTCAATAATAAAAAAAAAATTTAACACACAGTGAAACGTACACATGAGCTACATGGGCAAAAAGTTTTTTAATAAATTGTCTCAAGAGCTCAAAAACAGAATACAATCTAAGCATTTCAAGAGCAGCCTTACTAATTTTCTTTTAAGGAAAACATATTATAGTATAGATGAGTTTTTATGCGATCAAGATGTGTAATTATTTGGTATTTTAAATGCAATGTTTAAGTTTATCTATTTTGTCTACAACAATTATTTCTATTTTCATAGCGTTAGTTTATTTTATTCTTTTATAACTCCTTAGTTTTAAGGTATTTGTATACTGTATTGACAATGTCACCTGTTTTATAGCATTGCTATATTTTGTAAATGTTATGTGACAATAAAGATTTATTTATTTATTTATTTATTTATTTAGAGTAAATGGCGCCTGTTCACAAATAATGCCAGTAAGGGCGAGGAGTCTCGTTGGGGTTTACACGCGAGCTAAGAAGCTATACACACAAACGGTTCTTACTAAAAAAACTACCCTCGTACAGTAATTACTTATAAACTAGTTAAAGATAAAGCTGCAATGCTGGTACCGGTACGTTAAGAACTAAATACACAGTTCCTTATTTGCTTATCTATATAAATAAAATTACAGTTTTGTCTGTACATTGCTTGGAATCATGCAGTTTTTGGTTATTTTTACGTTTCATAGCCTAAGAAAGCCGAAACGAGTCTTATCTCAATTTCTGTCTGTATGTCTGTTTGTTTGTCTGTTTGTCCATTCTGTGGTTGCGTCTGTAACGCCAAAATGTCATTTTACGCGGCCTACTCCTAGAAAACTAGAGTACCGATCAAGATTCTAATCATTTGTCTGTATTTACTAGATTGGTGAGAGTGTCTTTGGCTATGAAAACATGGCCTCGCTTCCTTTAAAGCAAAATAACGTACCATCAAAAACCCAATTTTGTTCGATTTTTGTAAAATTTTCTCCTAATGTTTACTATTACATTTGATGAAATAACGATCAGCTGTTTGGATTAGTTCTCATTTCTAGCTGTCACTGATATGTTTACAGTAAAAGTTGTTTACAAATAACGCAACCATTTCCGATCAAGTTTTGTTAGCACATCCAAACCAAGTGAGATTAAAAACGTTGTGCCTTACCTAACCGGTTTAATTAATCGCAAGTAGCTTACAAAAAAAGTTTCCACTCATTGACGGTGCTTCAAGGACATTTGTGTAAAGTGCAAAGTAAAAAATCACAACTGCAGTGGGTGACTGGGTGATCGTGGATGTTGCTGCGATCTTGGAAGATCTTTCTGATTTTGCTGTGATCGTAACAGATACTTACAGATGTAGCTAAACTCGCTTTTCCAATGTGTCACTTTTGGTTTTTACTACTTACATTTCGACAACGATATCGGTACTTTTCCTACTTAGGAAGTAAAACTACAAACGTCCAAAACCCCAGATTAGTGCGTTTTTTTGTCACATTTCCTCCGAATGTTTGCTAGATGATATATGTACCAATTATCGTTTAGAGATTACGTAATCTTTTACATAAGAAACCTTTGTTTGGATAAAGGTGGTTTCTTCAAACTGTCATTAATATGTTAACATTGAAAGTTGCTTACAAATAATGCTATTAATGGGTAATTTTCGAAAACTTAAAAGACATTTAAAACCAAGGGAGATTAATAACTTCGGTACTGCACCACATCAAGTGAAATTTTTTTTTAGCAAACCATAGTGAGTTTTAAAGCTTTACGTTGTTAACGTGACATGTTACATGTTTTGTGGCCTGTGTATTTATTTATATATTTGCCAACAGATTAACACCTATAAAACAGTTTGATTAGAAGGACAGTTTGAATTGGTTGTAAGTGTAAGTAGTAAGTACTATAGTTCTTTTCTTAAATGTAAACGTTGGTTTATGGTACTGCTACTTTTTCTTAGAACCGATGGTAGCAGTGAGAATCATTTTTACGTACAAACACATCACTATTTACAACTATAGTTATCGTTAGTGCTGCACCTTATTTCTTATTAAATTTAATTGATGTCCTACTGTATAATTTTTGCGTTTTCTGTCTGGACTCCAAAATGTTAGTTTATGCTATAAAACATTATTGAAAGATTTTTTAGCAAACCATCATGAATTTTTAAAGCTTGGCGTTCTTAACGTATAAATTTTTTTTGGACTGTGTATTTATTTACTTATTTATATATTTGCCAACGGATTTACACAAATTTTACAGTTTGATTAGGCCTAAAAACGATTATCATAAAGACACTATCAAAACTTTCAAATAATTATTTTGTTTGTAATTTGCTTTGGTTAAAGCGTAGCAAATCTCCTAATTCAATTCTGTTATTGTGTGTGTATGTCTGTTGGTAACGCATTAATGTCCTTATTTCTCAGTGTTTCTTGGAAAAGACAAGAGCACCTTTGTTAATGAAAATTTCAACCCGAATAAAGTGTGCAGTAGTGAGGTTGAGGTAGTATTTGAACTACTTTTAACCAGTTTGAAAAGTAACTTTCAATTACAGGCCTACATTAGGGCTATACCTCATAGATCTGTAAAGCAATTCCTTTTATCATTAGATATAAAATATGGACTAACACGATCGAGTGACATTTAATTGCGAAGCATTCGTTTTGGCTTTGAAACTGTCAGATATTGTATTTGCAAAGGTTTATATGTATTCCTATACAGTAATAGTTTTGCCAGCATATCTGGAAAAATGCACACTAAATATGCAAACCAACTCCTGTTCTGAATATAAGGTTTCAACTTACCACAAGATTCCCGTACGTAGAACGGGCAAACAGCTAGTTACAAATAAAATTCATTACCTGCATCAATATGAGCTAAGATTCCAATATTACGAATCTTATCCAATACATTAAGATTGGTGGATTTATTACAATGTCCATCGTTCACGTTTTTATTACTTGTTGAAGAAACCAGCCTTTCAATTCTTCTTAATTGTTTTTTGTAGAGACTAAGTGGCCATCGTTTCAATATCATTGTATCTGCAACATGATTCAATGCTTTGAATAATATTTATAATGGTACTTAGAGTATCAGCCTGCAACACTACCTATCTCAGACATCCTTGCTATGGGTTGTTTAATGCTTGATAGATTAGTCGATGTCCAGCTTCTGAGGTTACTAAGAAAGCTGGACACACAAATAACTTACTTGGTTCAACAAAATAACTTATCCTTAGAATCAAAATGTTCAATGGATGCTAAATCCTATAGTTACCAAATTAAAGTCAATTATGACTACATTAAATCAAATTCTTTGTATGAACAGTTATTGTAGGCTATTGTTTTTTTTAGAAGAAGAATGTCCTTCAATTACAGCTGGACTGTTTTGAAACTCGGTCCTGATATAGGCTTAAACATGGTTTTGTAAAAACAGACTTCAGAAAATGTATGGCAAAAAGTATTTAAATTTTGTTGTGCAATATTGGGAGTGCACCTAGAGTTGATTGGACTGTACAGGGCCAGGTGGTGGCGCAGGATATTTATTGATCAGCTACTATAATTTTCCATACTAAACACAGATTTATTTGGCACGGAGATTACGCACAACGCATGTAAGCCTACCATGTTTGGACTCCCTGTATATCTTTCTATCCTAGAAACCTATTTTTTCCCTCCTTGACATGTGGACAAGTAAGGGTGTGCTCTAAACAACCAATTTCTAAGCGTATTATTAGATAGAAAAATTATTTTCCTGGTTTGTATGTTTAAATTGTGTTGTTGAAAGAGATTTATTTATACATTGTTAAAGGTGAGTTTAATTTGAACTGGCCAACCATTTTGCTGGTAGCGGCTCATTGAAGTTGTAGTAAAATAGTGTTTTATGCCAAGTAACAGTGTACCAACTTATATAGCTCCATCTGTAAGGGTTAAAAAAATATTAAGCCGTCTCAGAACTTTTCACCGCCCCTGTATATTTATTCCATAGGAGTACAGTAGTTATACAAGGCCATCAGTAAGTTTAAGCCTACCATTTTTAGTTTAGAATAGCTTTATTTCAATATTAATTCTTTTTAAATTGTTTGTTGATAACTTACTGAACAATATTTATTTATCGTATTTGTCGGCTGATATTTTTCAATTTGTTAATTTCGATATAGGCTATCGCACCAAAAATTATCGATATAGGCTATCAAAAATGTTTTATTGTTCTGCGGGACGCTCATGAAACAGCAGCCGTTTCCTTTAACAGGAAAGTACCCTAATTATTTATATGCTTTATAGGAACTGTAGGAAAAATATAATTTGCTGCACTCGAGAAACTTTCTACATTTCTCTCGTGTGCAGCAAAGTGCCTCGCCCACTAACTTAGTTACACAAATAACTATTTTGGATCTCAAGGTCTTCATTTGTTACGCGTCAACATTTTCTGTTTCAACAAAGTTGGAGCGTCCCTAAGTTGGGGACGATCTCTCTATTCGGCTGCACTTTAGTTTAGGTCCTACACTCATTAGAATGAAAATATCGATTATTCTATATATCGATCGATATTTTCATTCGAATAAGTGTAGCATCTAAAGTAAAGTGTAGCCAGTTTCTCTTACAGTAGCTCTAATTTAAAATTAGGCCTATACAGTACTGTATTTCTATGACTTAACTTAACAGGTCAAAAATTAACAAGTAAACTACATACATTTATTTACTCAGCCTGTGGTTAAATATTTAAGCTATAAGTTAAATAATCCACCAAACTGACACTGGAGAAAGAAATTACTAACCTTGTAACCTTAACCTAACATAGAAACATAAACATAACCTCAAAAATAAACATTGTTCGTTTACTTTTTTTACAATTTGTGGCTAGCTTTGGTAAAAGGCTATGAAGCCAACTTGTCACTACTGTATAACCAATGATTTCTTGGTCATCAGTGATTGCCTTTAACTGTAGATCTCCTTTTGATTTCTTCTCACTTTTCAGCAATATGTTTGTTTTGGTTAGTAAACGATTACATTTATTTTTTGTGATAGTTTTTTATTTGTCTTTATTCTAGTTATGAGGGGGAGGGGGTTGAGATGGAGGAAGTGATGTTTGGCGGTTTTTTTTTTTCAATATAGAAGCATTGACCATACCGTAGCATAAAATATAGTCAATGTGATGTGATATAGTTAATGATTTTAAACAGTTTGACAATAGGGAAATAGGGGGTGGGTAAGAAATAGGGAATAAGCTGGATTATGAAAATGGAACTTAACTTGATAAAAAAAAATTGAAATCCATGCCTTACTGTCATACATGGAACATGAAGGAGGCTATGATGGGAAACAGGGTACGAGGGTGATGCCCTGAGGCAGTCATTGAAGATGATCCCAAGGGGCTTTAACTTAGTCTCCACTAGTTTTATCGATTGTCCTCAAACAAATTGCTCTTTAGCACTTTCACTTTTTAGTACTTTCAGTACAGTGATTTGCACAGGAGGAGCCAACATTGAGGCAGAACATTATTACATTATTTGCTTTGAATTCCTGACCAGACTGGACTTAATTTCGTTGCTTACCTGCAAATCGATTGCATTGTTTGACCATGGATTTTGGTGGAGCAGTTAGCAATAAATCATCGCCATGAATATGTGGCGCCAATGTGTGATCAATCATCGCCTCGTTCTCATTTTACTCTTGTCTGCTGAATAAATGTGTTAAATAACATTTAAGAAGTAAAAAAGCAGCATTCTTTCTACTCTTTTGGGGGACAACTGAATCTTTAGCAGTTAGTTTTGTTTCTTGCAAACAATTTTTCTGCGAATTCGAGTATTCCTGGCCGCCAAATATGGGTGCGGGTTTATTAATAATAATATGTTTGAGTCTGGCAATGCGTTTTCCTAGCCGAATTAATTAGGCCACTTGGAAAACGCCTGTACTTGAACCTGTGTGTTTTAGTTAGATGTAAGAAAATTGTTGTCCTTGGTAACTAGAAAAAGACCTAGAACAAATAATATTCATGTCGAAGCCTTCGGGAATTGGTAATCAATAATAAACAGGATACGTACCTTGACGTCCACAATTCCTCAGTCGAACTTCTGTTTACTACTACTAGTTTCGACTACTAAGTATAGTCATTTTCAAAACAGAATGTTAAAATATTTCATTCATTGAATGTCGTCAAATTGTGTAGATTGAGGAGGTAGCATTGCTAATTCAATGAATATTTTAACTGCTGTCATTTGTGACTAGGTTGTCCGTTTCAGTTCAAATTTGCGGCATTATTTTGCTAGAAAAGGCCTTCCTTTAATTTGATGTAGGCACATATCAACCTATGCTTCTATTTAAGATTTCCTTCTGACTCTTTGCGGGACGTCCCCATGATATGACAGAAAACTGATAGTTCCTTAAAAAAGTCGATTTTTAGGTGTGCCCAATTAGCAAAAATCGTTGGCCCAACGTTTTTGTCGATCGTTGGCCAACGGTATGTTTTGGCACTCAGTCTTACGGTTGTTCATAAACAAGCAAACTACAACAGTTGACTTATTCTCCATAAGAATAACATGGGAATTTTAAAATTACAATTTTTTTGAATTTTATCCGTAACAATTAGGAGCATAATAACGCTTCAATATACTAAATTATTTGTTTTTTTAAGCTCTACAAAATGGTTTAGAAAGAAATTGTGAAATTTTGTGTTTTTAGGGTCAAGAATGGGAAAACCTATTATTACCCCATAAAACCCCCCATAAACCCCCGTTCCCATAGTCCGATCATGCTGGTTCGCGAACTCACTCAAGTTTATCCCGCCTTACACCTTCAAACCAAATTTTATCAAAATCGGACAAAAATTACTCAAGTATCGATGGACACATATATATATATATATACTTACCTATAGGGAAATTTGCTAAAACACAAAATATTAAGGATTTAGTATGAAAAGCATAATTATCAGTTGAGTAAATTGTTCATAAAAACTAATTTTGAAAAATAGTTTAATAGTTTAAAATAGTTAGAATAGTTTAAATAGTTTAAAATAAATAAATTTTCTTTTTCGTTTTGAGGTTCCCAGAGGCCAAAAACACCACCAGTTCAAATATATATATATGTGTGTGTGTGTCCGTTAGCGCGATAACTTAAGCAAAAAGTATCAGATTTTGATGAAATTTGGTACAAACCTATACACCTATTTCTATTCGAACAAGTTTGCGAACCAGAATAATCGGACTATGGGAATGGGGGTTTATGGGGGGTTTTATGGGGTAAAAATTGATTTTCCCCGTTTTTTACCATAATAAAACACAAAATTTCATAATTTCTCTCCAAATCATTTTGTAGAGCTTAAAAAAAAAAAAATTTTGTATATTGAACCGTTGTTGTATGCTTAACGGTTATGGAGATTATAACAAAAAAAATTAAATTTAAAATGTTCATGTTTTTCTTATGGAGAATAAATCAACTGTTTAGTTCGCTTGTTTTTATGGATATATTTTAATCAAATTTGGCCATTTTGTTTATTTCAGAATAAATCTATCAATATAAAAAAAAAAACACACCTCAATGTCTTCCCCGTAGCAGCAAACCTAAGTAGGTTACTCACTAAAATCATGTTATTTAAAAAGGAAATAAATCTGAAAATTTTTTGGGAATATTTTAGTAGAAATCAACCCAGGTAAATGGAAATTCGCTTAGTCTGCAGGTTTGCTACGACGGAGGTATTTGTTTATAAATTCAAACTGCTTAATATGTGTTGGATTAGTATAACTTGCACTTCACAATGTATTTTTTACATTTAGGTAAATTTAGTGATTGTGTTTTGCTACACATATGCTTAAATTAAACTAAAGAGAATATCATAAAACTAATTTGTACCCGTAAACTCAGGAGAGCATAATGTGACGTGCTCCCATGGCTCCAGTAGGAAGACCTTTTCATCAATTTACAACAGGGAAAAGTGACAAACATTGTTTATATAAATGTTCTTTAAAATTTGTTATTGACTGCAAAATTTGTGCAGTAAAAATAATTCTATTGTTTAAAGTTTTTTCCCTTTATTATATACTCTATGATTAAATAAAATGTAATCAATGACATATTATTTGATAGGCAGTACAAGAACAACTTTAGCCCTGTATATTTCAAACGGCAGTTTCAGTGATTCTAGCTTTAACTGCAAAACGATTCATTTATTCTCATGTTTCCTTGCTCGAATTTACTACTAACTGTACTTCCTACTGGGCTAAATATACCAAAGCCAAAATCATACCAATCTATAAATCGCACAAATAATTTAAATGTACTTGGACCTTCACGATGGGCTCGAGGACAGTTCACGTATCCTGCATGATAATTTAAGTGAGAATAATGTTCCTAGTAATGTCAATTTGGCTATTTCCATAAAACGTTGACTGTAGTATAGCAGGTAGGTAGTTTATGTTTTCAAATAAACAAATAAAAACTACACTTTTTTGTATTTTTTTATTATTTATAAATCTTTAAAACAACAACTCCTCACTTCTTTGCGGCTACCTTAGCAGGGGCTGCCTTCTTTGCTGGTGGAGCAGCTTTAGCCTGGTCAGTTTTAGGCTTTTTTGCTTTCTTAGGCTTGGCGCTCTTAGCCTTCTTGATCTGTTCTTTGCGAAGAGCCAACATCTTGACCTTCCGTTGTGTCTTGGGGTCCAAAGGAATCTAAAAATAGGAAATTAATCATAAGCTAATTGTCCATTAAATATATCCAAACTATACTTTATCACACAAAATTTAGGCGGTTTTACGGGAAGAAATCTATCCCTTCACTTTGATCCTACCTTGAAAACAATAGCTCAACAGCTGAGGTTTGCCAAAAAGTCATACAGCTAGAACTTTATAAAGTGAAGACAAAAAATAGTGATGGGGGGGGGGGGCTTTCCTTCAAACCGCCTAAATTTTGTGAACACAGTATTCTAGATACGGATTTATTTATCTTGACTGCAGAATTTTCCTAATTTTTTAACAGTATATCAAAATTTTAAATACAGTAGGGACTCTACATCTCAAATCTGAATGGGATATGATAAAAATTAAGAGTTGTTATGAAGTTTTTTGAGTAAGCAAGGTTTGAGTTATGAAGGTGCTATTCCAAGTTCAAGATATGTACTGAGGTGTTGGATTCTGACAATGATGTTAAGTCACGTTCTTTAAAACTTGACTTTTACCTTCATAACCTTCACAAATTGAGCTATTTTATTTGGACTGAAGGGTGATTGTGGAAGCATAATCAAATAATTTATCATGCATACAAATGGTATACTGAATGGCCTTTTCTCTTGAAAAATCGGTCCTGATATAGGAATGTTTTTATCTCGACACTGTTTTAACCATGTTTAAACACAATCGTACTTGTCTTTTAAACTCACCGTTATTACATCTTTTGTTATTGATTAATCCATCAAAGTCAGCCTCATGTTTTCCCAGGTTATTCAAAATGGCCGATAAAGTTTTAGACAGAATACCAAATTCACTGGCAATTTTAGCTTTTTTCTTTAACCTGTCTTAACTGCTTTAATCACTCTTCTTTTTTTGCCGTGTGTGTCAATGTTACACTTACGCTTAACGGATGTTATGATGCACAAACCCGTTAACTGCCTTAATACTTTTTTGTCGTCTGTCAACGTTACACTTACGCTGATGCACATCATACGAAACTTAGGTAAACTTCCAGTTATTGAGGCTCAATAACGGGAAAATTCAAATATTCTAAAATTTATATATTACTGATCTAAAATCTCCGTAAAATTCGACTAATTGGAGTTAAATATTTAAAACCTTCGACTTATAGAGGTACTTTTAACATTGCAACTTATGGGGATTATAAAAAAATTCGAGATATCGAGGTTCGAGTTATTGATGTCCTACTATTGCAATCATTGTAATAAAAACAGATTGCAAGTTTGGGTAAAATTACCTAAAATTTATACACACAGCCATACAAATTTGTTTCTACAATTTAAATTATTTATTAACTAAATAAACTGAAAAACAACAAAATAATAAGGCAATACCCGTCAATAGAGAAATAAATATACTTATAATATATATAAAATACAGAGTAAAAACTGTCCTTTGACAAACTCAACTTTTGTTTTGAGCATTATATATTTTTAATAAACATTTAAAACTAAAAAACCCCACATATAGGCATGACTAAAATTTTTTTTTAAACTTACGCCTCGCTTCTCAGCCAGCTTGACCTCGCGGTCGAACAGCCTCTTCTGAGCAGTGAGCACAGCTTTCCTCTTCATGACAGCTGCGAAGGGGTTCAGCTTGAGCATGGCTCGGGTGTTTACAAGAGGGTTCAACTTGCGCACTCTCCTCTCCACAGTCTTCCTGTAGATAAAAGTATAAAACAAACATGAATAGCGAACATATTAAAATTGTGATTTGGATTCAAATCATTGTCTAAGTTTTTTTGTACCAAGTTATTGATAAATTTGCAAGGTTCTCAACCAAGATTCATCAGCAATCTTAGGCTAGGTTTAAAATTACCAAAAAGCTAGCTTTTGTATGGCCAGGATCTTATGCCAGTTTGTGTAGTATTCCTCCAATTCAACATGTCATTATTTGTACCTAGGTACAACAGACAGTACAATGAAGAGCATCAACATGTTATATCCAACTACCCATAGGCCTACATAGTGTTAATCATATCACAAACATAGCTACCCCAAACTGTTAAATGTTACGATATTCAACCTAAAAAGTGCTTTCATCAACTTTAATCCTTACTTACTTATTAGATATAGTGCCGTATAGATACTTTGCTTATTATTTAGGAAAGTTTTATTAAATAACCTACGGGCCTACGGCTAAACTAGCATTTGAGTAAATGAAATTCAAACTCCAGCTTTTACATTCCTGAATAAAATACAAATTACAAACTCTAACTTACTTGGGTGGCCTGACAACCTTCTTAATCTCATCAGCCTTCAACAGACGGGACAGATCAGTGTTGGCCATCTTAGGCATGGGCAGGTTGTAACCCTTCTTGAGTGAACTCTTCTTGCGCCAGGCACCATACAGAGCATCCAACTGTTGGAAGGCTGACTGTGTCCAGATGACAAAGCGACCAACATGACCACCAGGAGCTAGCTTCAGCAGATTGAGATGGGACACGTTGATCAAATCAACTCCGGGAATGTTGCGGAAAGCCTTTGTCAAGCCCTAGACAGAAGGCAATCATGAACTAAATAGCAATTCCTGGGATGACTTAACACAGTCGCAAATGGATCATCTTTAGTGTTGATGAGACTTAACAGACTCTGGTAGCCAAAAATGAGTCCAAAAAATGTGTTGGCTATTTCTACCCTCTGTCGCCTTTTCAAGAGGACAGAGAACGCCAGTATATAACCATTTGATGTTGCACAAGATTAGGAACTTAAACAGTGACAACACTGATAAGTGGACATAATGTGCATCTTATGATCTGGTAGCTTCTGCATTCTAACAATACAAAACAGTATCTTAAAACTAATGTTGGTAATATTATGAACTTGTATTTTATCATGTTAGTAGATAAAAAAAAAAACAAAAAAAAAAACAACTTAAACAGTGGCCTAACTGATAAGAGGACATAATGTGCATTTTATGATCTGATAGCTGTATTCTAACGGTACCTTTATACAATAAATTATCTAAAAAGAAATATTGGTAATGTTAGTAACTAGTATTTAATCATGCAAGTAGGATAACCCTTTTAGAGATATAGAGAATTTACGAATCAATGTTACAAATAAAATAACAATTTTCAAACTATGTGTAGAAATGTGTTGGCTATTTCTACCCTCTGTCATCCTTTCAAGAGGACAGAGAACGCCAGTAAATAACCATTTGATGTTGCACAAGATTAGGAACTTAAACAGTGACATCACTGATAAGTGGACATAATGTGCATCTTATGATCTGGTAGCTGCATTCTTACAATATAATACAGTACAGTAGAACCTTGATTAACCGAGGGCAGATCAAAAAGGCGGCGGACTAACCGTGGTAATAGATACCTCTAAAATTTGGTTACATTTAACCTCATTGTCCAAGAAAGTTTTTATAAAATATTTACTAGGGATGGGCCAATTCCAATTGTCTTCGATACCTATGGTATCAAAGAATCACCGATACTCGATACTTCGCTTCATTGTACTCAATACCGATTCTGAAAAGTGAGGTTAATTATGATGCTGAACTAGACTGACGTTGAAAGTTGTTCAGAGTGGCACATCATAGTTTATTTCTAAAAATGTGTTGGCTATTTCTACCCCCTGCCATCCTTTCAAGAAGACAGAGTACACCAATATATAACCATTTGATGTTGCACAATATTAGGAACTTAAACAGTGACACCACTGATAAGTGGACATAATGTGCAAAGATATATAGGCCTATAACTGGGTGACCCTCTGTCCACAATCTTTTCCAGGAGGAACAGATCAAGTTCCTTATCGATTTTTGTTATTCACATGATCCTCAAATTCACATAACATTCCGTTTCAAAAGTTACAATAGTAGGCTTAAGGTAGCCTACAACCGATTTCCTTAAAAAACGGTGAATTTTTGTTATAAAAATACTGTATTGTAAGCATGTTTTTATGATATTAAAAAAATGATAACATTATTTTCTGGCATGAGTTGATCACTAATTACATTTTGAGTGTATAAATAAATGCAATATAGGCCTACAGCGTTTCTTTTTAACTTTTCACAAAACTGGAACTATCTATCTTCTATATATATAATACGCTAAGCCGATTTTTGTGAACAGAACTCCTCCCTCATTTTTGGACCGATTTTGATGATTAAAGTGTCAAAATAATTGCCCTGATCAGTAGTTTTGCAAAGTGTTATTATCTTTTTGATATCTTTATTAGTTTGGTCAGGATCTTCCATCAAAGTTGGGTTTTCTCCCATAAGATTAACATGGGGGAATCTAAATTTTCATTGGAAACTTTGTCTCCACTAATTTGAGAGAACGGCTGGGCGTAGAAACTTGGTAGAGGTGTCCAAAGAAAGGTCTTGGTCTGTAGATGAGTTATCAAAAGAAAAACGAAGTAAATTCGCTTAGGGCTCTGCGCCAGAAGCCTTTAAAGATCCACCCACAGATTTGTTTACATTTTGGTCATGTGGATAATACTTTTTAATAAAACAGCTGTTAAATTTTAAAATTGTGTTTCAAACAACACACATTTGGGAGCATTGGGAGTCACTGAATTGTCCAAAAGAAGTATTTGCAATGTTATTTTATGATTTTAAAATTGATTTTCCTCTGTATCATTTGTGTTGCAATATAAAGTTCCATTACGGAATCAGTAGAAAATCCTTTTATCACAATAACTCCTACAATTGTTTCTTATTGAACTATCTTATATCTATTTTACGGGTTGGTGTCTGCCTTTTTCACACCTTTTCCCTATATTTTATCATATTATTCTAGACAGATCATCATAATACAATACAAAATAATACAAATGCAGAAGGGCACGGTGTCCATTTGAGCCGTGTCCATATTTTGTTAAATTAATAGTGGTTTACAGCACCTGGATAAAACATTTTTCAATATTTATGTAGAAATATGTGCATGATTTAGAAAGTCATTAATCTGGAAAACTGCAATATACTGCAGACTTTTCAGAGAGGTTACTTCGAAGTATTCATTAAGCTTAGTGAAGACATAATATAGATATTTATACAAATAAGAATTTGAACTCATAGAGAGCCTTTGAATGTTATTATACTAACGAAAATAGTTGTGCATGTTTACTAGCGCTACTCAGCAACAAAAACCATTTAATTTATCTCTAAAATACATATTCTTAAAGTGCAATGAGCAACAACCTAAAAACTCCATGTGACTTACCCATACAATATAGTTACAAAATGCTCAAACTCGCATTGTGACATTTATAAATCGGCTTATATTTCTCCAACAGAAAATTCATCTGCAGAAGAATTTTATTGTTATTGTGCTCTCACTATGTCATTCGCATTATTTGTTGCCAATGAAGCTGCACGACCATATAAATGAGGAGGCCCCTAACAGTTCAAGAATAAAAGCCAACTTCACTTCAAGTATATTCCACTACACCTAACATTCTGTAGAGAGATTATATGGACAACTTTATGTAACTGATAAGGCTGAGACAACTAACTGACATCCCCTATGTCAAGGAATTCCAGCTTTAACAGTAACACCACAACCAATTTCTCAAAACTGTGCTAGAGGGTTATTAATTGGCACAGAAGTACGATATGAACTGACGCGACGTGACGAAGGAAAAATCAAACTTACACTGTAACGGATATACCTCCCTTTGAAGTTAGAACGTGTCTTTCCAAAAGGCAGATTTTTTAAAATAAAACCATAGATTAATTTGCATTACACTGATGAAATAACGGAAGTGTTTGACTACAAAAGATCCACAAATACGATTTTAATACTATTTAAAGGTTCTTCCAAAGGAAGAGATACCAGATAGCATACTAACAACTTCGATGATGTACAGTATGGGAAATATTTTATTCATTGAATAATCAACCATATTTGGTAACTAACGCAATTAATATCATTATTGTTTTTACACTTATTAATCAATGATAAATGCTCAAAATATGTATAATTTCGCTCAATTTATCGCAGTTAGATGAAGTAGTGTAAGCATTGAAAGTAACCGTCGATTTCGACGGGTTTCACCTAGTTTTAGATATTTACTAAGCTCATATAACAAATAACTTAGCTCTAGAATCAATACAATCAGAACTGACTTTTAGTGATTGGTTCGTAGTTCTGGTTTCAAGATTGGTCGACATTTGGAATCAACCCATAGGCCTTTGGTACCAAATTTGGACGGTATACATAGTTTATGTAATAAACCATCTGCTTTCTCATTCATTACCCCTTCAATTTTGATTGATTAAAACAAAATTGATTGATAAGTCTTAGTGAAAAACCCAAGACTCAAGGAAGGTAGGCTTAAATTAGCATTCTATCAATGCACATAGCTAAGAAAGATCATTGTTGCTCTTGTGTGTTCATATAAATAATTTTAATCAATCAACCATATAAAGGTTAGACATGGAAATTATAATTTGTTGATCCTATGATGTTTTGCGACGCCTACCTAATGAAGGAAGTGTGGGTTAAGAGGATTAGATGTGTCCATGATTTTGTAAAGAAAAATAAGGTTACCTAAAACCACAACCATGTATGATTGAGTTGAACTTTACTTGGAAATATTCCTTACTTGATCTTTGCCATAGATGATTAGAGGTCCACGACGCTGAATCCTCCTCCTGTTCCTCATCTTACCCTTACCAGCACGGAACCTTCGTGACTTGTACACCTGTGGAATAATGCATACATATGAGAACTACATTTTTTTAATATTTATTATTTTTATCTAATATTATATTATATTATAGGCCTTACTTACAGAATGGTGTCAGGTTTTCAATAATTAAGTCAATTGTCAGGAATAAACAATATAAAATGGTGTCATCAGAAACAATAATTGGTGGTAGATGTGATTGTCATCACATAAATGCAGATAGCAAATACATCAGTCATCATAAACACCATAAAATATTGAAAATCAAAACAAATATTTGCTTACGATGAAGAACCATTGATAAAATGTTATTTTGAGTAAATGCCATTGTATGATGACATTTTTATTTAATTTCATCCAAATGCAATTAGCTCGATAACTTTTTCTTCATAAAAAATGTTAAAGAATATTTTCCTCAGAATTCTTGAACAATATATGTGGTTGTCAACTTAGTATTTTGTTGCACAGTAGCTCAAAATTTAACTAAGATAAAATGGTGTCATCAGAAACAATAATTGGTGGTAGATGTGGTTATCATCACATAAATGCAGATAGCAAATACATCAGTCATCATAAACACCATTTTGTGCATAACATTGAAAAAAAATGTGCTAAAAGTCATTTTGATCCAATGTCAAGATGGCATTTCGATTTGATTTCACTCAATTGCAATATGATTGGCTCAATAATATCTTGGTAAGAAATATCCAGTAGGGCTATGTCTATTATTCTAGTATTCTAAGAAGATTAAGTGGTTGTCAACTGAGTATTTTGTTGTAGCTAAATGTTTAAGTAAAATATAGGAGTGTCAATTTAATTAAAATACAATGGTGTCATCAGAAATGATGATTGGTGGTAGATGTGGTTATCATCAAAGAAATGCAGATAGCAAATACATCAGTCATCATAAACACCATTTTGTACATAACATTGAAACAAAAATGTTCTATCAGTGAAGAACGATTTATCAAGTGATTTTGAGTGAATAAAAAAAAAATTGTAAATGATTTTGACCCAATTAAAATTGACACGGTAAGTCTATTATTCTAGCATTTTGAAGCAAATTATGTCGTTGTCAACCTAGTATTTTCTTATAGCCCAGCGTTTAGATTTCTCATCCTTATCAAACAGCTAAAGAAAATTTTATTGTTAGTTCTGTACGGTTTATGTAGAGGTCGTGTTTTGTTTAAAATTTGTTTCCCGTCATTACAGACATTTAAAACCTCGTTTAACCAAATAATAGCCTACGATCTAATCATAAACAATAACTTGTCCCCTAGTTATATAACCAAACAGTAAAGCAAAAATCAAGAAATTAACCCTAAAATAATAGAAACAAAATTTCGACAACACTAGCGCGGCAGTGTCACCGTACATGAACTAGACACGAAAAACGTGCTTCAAAATTTACAATGGGATGAGAAGTCTACTTGTGTTGGTTAGTCTATGATTGAACTAAAATGAAATGGTGTCATCAGAAACAATAATTGGTGGTAGATGTGGTACACATCACAGAAATGCAGATAGCAAATACATCAGTCATCATGAACACCATACATATAATAATGAAACAGAAATGTGCTGTCAGTCCATCCATTGCTTGAACTGTGATTTGATTCAATACCTAATCGATATCTCCTGTCAACATCTTGAAGATTTGCACCTGTCTTAAATCAAAACACCTGCATTTAACAGCTAGGCTTACTTCTGATTGTAGTAAGGTACTGCAAAGAGTTTGTTGACTCTTATTACTTGCAAATCTTTCTGTTGCCTTCCCTTTCATACATTAATAATTGAGGACAAGTATCGCTTCATCTTTAATTTTGGTATAGAAAATGTTTATTTTGTTTTGTATGAGAGTGTTATTGGTTTTAATGAAAGAAAGGCCTCGACATGTTTGTGCTAACAAGTTTTTTGTTATTATTTGCAGTGTTATCTGACTTTATCGCTGCTGGTTTCTGGTTTCGGTCATACAATCTAAGGCTTATTGTATTTCAAGCCATTGTCTGGCCAAAGCATAAACACTTATTTTTTTACTTACTTTACTATTAATTGGTAAAACCACATCCCTAATAATATGCAAAATGGAACTAAAGATTGACTTAATGTTTACCTTCTGGATGTCATTCCAAGCCTTAATCCTGTGAAGGAAGATGAATGCTTGCTTGGTCTTGTTGTACTCCTGAATCTTGTCACTGACAACCAGAGGCATTTCAGGGACCTCTTGCACCATGTGGCCTATCAGAAAAGAAAAACTTAATTTAACTTTTTACAAAACTTGAGTAAATCAATACAGTAAAACCTCTTTAATCCGAACTAATTGGGACCGGGGGTAGTTCGGACTATTGAATAGTTCGGATTACAGAACATATTGGTGTCTTTACATAACAATTACTTTTTTAATAGTTTTAAATCCGTTTACTACTGTTACTTTTTTCATTGTTTATTAATAATTGTTAAAATCTGACTACTTTAAATTCTATGATTGGTTTGGTATATTATTGAATTCTTAAAGAAAAACAAGGGAAACAAAAGACTGATTGAATAACAAAGACTGATTGAATAAGAAAAAAGCACTGTGAAATAACAAAATTAGAATAATTGCTGCAGACAAGCCATATTGGCTTTTGTGGCTTGGAATTGTATGTGTTGTAAATTTGTATTTTTTGGAAATAAAATATTAAATATTAAATTAAAATAGCTAAAATGGATCGTAATTGTTACGGGAAAAGTTAAAAAATGCTTTATAAAGTAAAATACAGTATTTATTTAATACGGTAGTAAACATAGTGAATAAACAGGACTGTACATTAAATACATACAATATAAAACTACTGTACTGTGTATATGGAGTGCAGCAATGAGGTGTTCGGATTAGTGGACGTTCGGATTTAGGTGTTCGGGGGTTCAGATTAAAGAGGTTCTACTGTACCGGTACATCACAAGCAAAAGCATTAAAGAAGAAGACCATTGGATAGGCTTATATTTAAAGTTCAGTTTATTTACAAAAGAGAGCATAAACTTTTAATTGAAAAACCATTACCATAAAAATAATTTGCATGCTCTTACTCATGTTTCCTGCAACTGCTCTTTTAGTACAGACTGAGACTGAGGCAAAAACAAGAGAAAACTCTGACATAGACAAATATTCACTATATGGGAAATTCGCTAAAATGCACTTGCAGGTCAACTCATGGACAAAATTAGAAACATTTCAGCAAAAGCTTGTTAATACTGTGTACATTGACATTACCTTTAGACATGACCAAAGCAGGCACACCAGTGGCGGCGATGGCGGACACCATGGCGTAACGCTTTTGGTTGACATTGACCTTACGGTGCCAACGACGCCAGGTCTTGGTGGGAGCAAACATCCTACCACCACGACACATGTTTCCAAAGGCTCCCTGTCCAGAACGGTGGGTACCTCCTCCCCTTACACGAGGGATACGGGCAACAGCTCGTCCAGTTCCCCAGGACTCTGCACTAGTCTGATGACCTAAACAAATATATCTAAATTATTTACTAACTAGTAAAATTAGCCATCATTAATTAGTCTGCCATGTTAATTTGAAGAAGTTTTTTAAGACCAGTTGACTTTCAAATCACTTTATGTTAAAATTAAAAATAACAGTTCTACCAAAAACAGGCTTTGAAAACCAAGGAATCAACTGTTAAAGACTAAGTTTACAATACCAATACCCTACCTCTCTTGATTTTTAAATTAAATATATTTTTCCCTACAATTACCTGACAAAGCAGGCTTCCTTGCACTATAGCAACAACATTTAACATGTTTTGTATAAGCATTATATTTTTGTTCAACGCTTGGATTTAACCTATGTACAGTAACCTAAATTGTATTGTTTAGTGTTTGAAAGACTATTATTTAATGCTTTATAGTAACTATAGGAAAAATATAATGTGTAACGAAAATGCAAAGTGCCTTTGCGGCACATGTGAGAAATGTTTACGCACAAGCTGCAGGTGAGTGTGGAAAGTTTCTTTCATGCCACTTGCTAGTTACACAAATAACTATTCTGAACACTATAAAAGCCATAAATCTTAATCATCATTTATTGTCATCTGCCACTCAGTTTTTTAAAGACAAGATTCTTAGGCATGTAACAAATTATTCAAATATTTAAACATTAAAATGCAATTAAATAGGCCTTAATAGATGACAAATAGGCTAAATACAAAATTGAAGGAATAGGCTAATTGTGGTAATCCAGAACGGTAGGTAGGCTACAAAGAAGAAATGTTACAGAATAATAAGTTAGGCTAAATCCTAATGTTATTCTTTTTAACAGCTTTTTATGAAACAAAACCAGATGATCATGTAACTTGAAGATTACAATCCAAATAAAATTCTTACCAGCATCCTTGTTGACAGCATAAGGTTGCCTGCTGTTCTTGGAAATATTCATGTGAACAAAGTTCACAACGTCAGGGCGGATGGGTGCCTTGAAAACAGCTGGGAGAGCTATAGTTGTACCAGTTGACTCATTCTTGTCACTGTACACGCTCACTAGGGGGCGTGTTGCCGTCAAGGACTGGAAAATATACGACTTCTTAATATCTAATTGCAATATTTGAAAAATTGTTTATGAATATGAACACAAATATTTAAAAAATACGAAAGCAAAAAATTATTTTGTTCGTTGGTATTGAAATGAACCTTAGTTACATGAAAATATGGGCCTGCGCTTATTAGGCTTAACTTAAGATACATTGAAAAGTATTTATTGATAACTTTAATTTATACACTGGCCTAAGTTTTAAGACCCGGAATTTTTTATGAATGTAAAATCGTATCAGCAAATTTTGTATGGAAGTAGGAAGTTTAGAATAACTGCTAAAGCCAAATGGCTGAGTGTTCATTCATTAACAGCAATCAATTAGTTCTCTAAAGTGGTTTTGTACTAAAGAAAATCATGGGAGATGGGTTTTTTTCATTATAAGTTAGTAGATAATCAAGAATATTACAGAGCACAGGTGACCATTTACAGCCAGGAAAAGCGTTTTTTTTTATGATAAGTTACTGTACTGCATTTTTAACTTATCAGAAAAGTTTGGTGGTCCGGGTGTCCCGCCCCAATTAGTTTTGATAAGAGATAAGTCTAAACTCAAACTGATAGACTGGTAACGTTGAATCAATTTTTTTTTTGTAAATTTAGTATTGACAAGCCATTGTTTACACAGGAGCTTTGATCTAAAAAGCTTTGTAAAACAAGCTTGAAAAAAAAATTGATTTGTTGATGCAGTTTTTAAAATACAGTAGGCCTAGGCCTAATACAACAACGATACATAAACTAAGTTTTGATTAGGTTAATCACATCATTAATAACCCTAGCAGTGGCCAATGTTAGAAGTGGGGAATGGCCAACCCATTTTGGCGATTTTGCAGACCTTTATTTGAAACTTCGTAAAAACTCAACCATACAAGTAAACCTAGCCAACCTTGTATTATTTTTGGCCGAAAAGAACAGGAGGATCTAGAAATAGTGATAAATAATGATTTAGCTAGTGAATTTTTTCAGTTAAGTGAAAAAATCCATTGTATTTAGAATTTTTTTTTTATATTTCAAAAGCAGCCTTGGTAAAAGTTTTTCTTACAGAATTTTTATGGGAAATTCATTATTAGGCCTTCATTTTGTAGAAAATCTAATTCCCTAGGACTACATCTAGAAATATATATATAACATGATAGGAAAATATTTTTTTTTAGGTTTTTGGGGCGAAATATAGCCTACAACAAAATATTCAAACGGAGAACCGACAAAATTGAAAACCCTACCTAGTGTTAGTTTGAGTTTATATGTTTAGCCTACACTAATAATGATATATAATAAGCCCCTACATGTTTGTAAAGCTAGTGAAGTAAGGAATCCAAAAAATTGATAGCCAAAAGTTTATGGTAAAAATATTTTTTTTTTATAGGCCTAAATAAAATAATGTTGTTATATATTGCTAGCGATTTTGTAAAAAAAAATTCATAGTAGGCCTACCTAAGTATTTAGTATGAAACTTTAGTACCAAATGTTTTTATATCAAACCAACATAACTTAATCATCTTGTAGTGTATTCAATTACCTACATAAAAATGTATAACACGTTGGGTAAAAATTTTTGTTTTTACATGTTAGGGGCATAATCTATACTATAGGCCTAATATAATCAACGGACAATCGCAAAATAAAACTGAAAGAAAAATACAACCTTATACAAACACACAATTTCACACGATTCAGTAAGTTACCTACTGTTATAATACACACACACACACATTTATCAAACAATACGAAATAATAATGAATTTAGTAATAAATCGCGGATAGAACGAGAGCGAAAACTCGCTGGCAACAACATGCAATGGCAAACACAAGGCACTTTGTGAATGAGACCTTGACAGTAGGCCTAGTGACACACTTTTGTTGTCTTCCTGAGAGAAAACAAAAATAACCCTGAGCACAGGGCTGCCACTAATACAAGCTACATTTCTTCCTCTTCAAAATGACATATTATATGACTAGTAATAATAACTTATAGGCCCACTGTATGTAATTTGTATTTTCCGTAAGATCGTTTAGCGGCTGTTGGCCATTTGTTATGCATTTCGAATCGTACCGGTTGTCCAATCATTTCGTTCTAAATATCACTACCACGATGAAGATAAAATTAATGGCTATCCAGTGGTACCACCAAAACATCCCAAGACGAAAATTACCCGAGCAGGGTAATGCCAAACAAGTCGTGTTTTGCCAGTTCCCAAGTGTCGGCTGCAAAAGTCGTGCCGCGCCAAAAATTCAATTCACTAATCGTCATGACATTGTTTATACCTGCTAACTTACAGGGTTTGTTTATGTAATAAAATGAAAGTTCAGAATGTGATCTTTCGAATGGTGTAGCCTAGGGTACATATTGTTCTCATCTGAGTTGATTATAACTGTTTTTTTACCGTTAAAATAATTTTGGCCCATACCATCGCCTTACGATCGTGGCCATTCTAAGCATCAACGGCAAACGATCGTCCCGCGATCATTGGCCACTGCTAGGGTACCGTAGGCTAAATTATCAATATATGTAAATTTATTATTTTTCTACATAATAGGCCTGCTACAACTTTTTCTGTTGTCCACTAGTGGAGTGACAAGACTTCCCTAAGTTCTGGTTTCCAGCAGAGAGTCGGGGTAAAACTGAGTTTTTACTACTTATGTTATTTTGACTTTTTTTTACTTTATTTACCTAAATTAGACTATTTTGAGCACTTTTTACATTTAACACTTTTGGGGGAAACGCCGTTTTCACCCTCAAAATCGCGTTTAAAGTTTGCCAAAAATTATCACAATAAGGCCATATATGGCCATTATGGTGGTAGGTAAATTAAAATTACGTTCATAGATTGTGTTCCAAAAGAACAAAATAAATATTAGCAGCCTTGAGTGGTCTATTTTTTAATCTGGACTGTTTTTAACCTTCCCAAAACATTTCCACGATCCTTATAAATGGTAAAATACCTTAAAAACATTTTTTTAAGAAGCTGGAATCACTGAAAATTGAGAAAATATACGGAACTACTTTCTCTAACGCTATGGCAAGGAACAAGGAGCGGAGGGATATGCCGGTGAATACTTACTCTCGGGCTCTAAAATTGTTACCAGCTGATTAGAAATAACGATTTAATAAGCGATATATCGAACAACATCCAAATCGATATTTAATCCGATAATACCTCGCAGGTATTATAACCTCGATCTATTCTAACTCTACTACATCCACTCCACGGTAAGGGTACAGTAATGTAAGTACAAATGAAATGTCAACGAAAAAACAACAGTTAACTTATAAAGCTAATGAAACACATAATTGACCAATGATCTTATTTGAGCAGGTCGTTATTTATGAGGATTCCTGGCTTAAATTAAGTGTTTTAAAGTAAGGTTAGATTTGGAAAGTAAAGTGTGGGTTATAGGTAATCGGGTTGTTTATTTCGTGTTACACCACATTGTTATTTATATCTGGAGTAGGCCTAGTTGGTTAGACAAAAAGGAAACGATTTGAAAATGCTTTAAAGAACTTAATGTAGTCACGAATCGTCAGAAAACCCGACCTGTCTTCAACACATGCCTTTTTATCTTGTAAGACTATAATTAATGAAACCATACAGCATGTTTGGTTAGGTTAGGTTAGGCCTAGTTAAGAACAGTTCCGTCAAATTAATTATAGCTTAACCTAACCTAACCTAACCAAATGAAACTATCGAATTGAAAATATTGATTAATAATCAATATTTTTAAATATATCTATTATAAAATTAAACTATCATAACCTAACCTAACCAACCATACTTGCTGATGGTGAAAAAATCGCATAAAGGTTTACTAATCGAATCGATAGTTTCAATCGATATTAGCAAAGCCCAGTTAAGAAACTGTACCCGCCTGGCTCACCAAAGAAGATGTTCTCTATAATAGAAATTTCGTCACATTATGGAGATATAGAGATGGACTGGTGGACTAATTACATGTAGTTCTTATTTAGGCATGTCAGGGTGGTAGGTCGTGCTGTATGTGAATTGGTGACTGCATTAAGTGTTTTGAAGTTAGGTTAGATTAGGAAGGTAAAGTTTAGGTTATAATGTATCGAGTTGTTAGTTTAATGTTTCCTGCAGACTGTTTTTGTAAAATTAAAATCCTGAGAAAAACACTTCAAATTACTATTTCAAAAATGCTCACAACTAAAAGGTAAACAACTTTCTCCAACAATACTCCCATAATATCACACTAATACCGCAACACATGGTGGAAGGAAGCAACAATACTACGCTAATATCGATCAAACTATTGATTAGATTAGTAAACATTAATTCGATTTGTTCATAATCAGCGAGTGTGGTTAGTCATGTTAAGTTATGACAGTTTTATTTTATAATTAAAAAAGTTAATAATAGATAATATTAATCAATATTTCCAATCGATATCTTTAATCATTGGCTTAGCTCAATTAAGAAACTGTACCATACTCCCCTCCTCTAAGCTCTTGGACTCGTCCTTCTGCTGACCAGACCAGAAATGAAATGTCAAAAAATGGCTTGTTAACCCTTTTAACCCCAGCGTCCGATATAGCGGACGTAAGGTGTTTTGCGAAAATCCCCGACGTCCGATATATCGGACGTCTGTTATTTCATCATTTACTGACCACCTAGCAATCCAAACGCCTTCGAATTCGGGGTAACGCCTTTCGACGAATTGGACTACACATAGAAGTGTAGTTTGTCGTGGTTTCACAAGATTTTCGTAGGCCTACTCTGTGTACTGTCGCTATTGGCTGTCGTCAGCTGTCGTATTGCCGGCCGGCGCTAGGTTCTGTTTATCTGTTTGTTTACGTTGTCGTCTGTATCGCGTAACCTCAGTGAATGTTTCCAACTTTATTTCGTGTTTCATTTCGCGAAATTTAGTGTTAATCTTTTGAAAATGAACAAAAGAAAAAGAGAGAAATCTCCTGTTAGTGAAAATTCGCTGCTCAGGAATCTTCGTGGGGTGGAAAACGTCGAAGTAAACGATGATGAGTTGAGTGATTCTTTTGTTGACAATATTGAAAGTTCCGATTCTGATAATGAATCAAGTTCTTCCGAAAATGAAACTCACAGTGATAGTGAGGATATTTTTGGGGATGATACGGATGAAGATCCAGACTTTACTGTGGACGATCCATCCACAGTTATGTCTGAAGAATCTTCAGAAGACGAAGTCCAATCAACATCAAAGGGCAAGACTCTAGGCAGGCCTAGGTTTATGAAACTGACCTCAGTTGTTGAACACAACAAAAATATAGTTATAGATGAGGTTTTACAGTCTCAAAATGTAAATGATACAAATGTTGACGAGGAACAGGCCTCAAATGAAAATACAGTTCTTGGTCATGAAGGCCTAGGTCAAGGTTTATCAGGGCCAAATGAAAATCTTTCGGAATCCATAGGCCCATCAGCTGACAATAATTTAGTCAATAATTCAAACAATATCGAACCTCCCCAGATTGAAAGTCAGAGGCCTATACCTAGTGTAACAAATGATGTAGGCCTAGGCCTAGAAAATGTTGATCGCATTATAAATGATGTCATACAAGGCCTATTTGATCACAACATACCAGAACAACTCATAGAAAATGGAATTCCCCCAAATGAGAATCCTCTAGAGCCTGAGCCCACTGAAAATGTGATAAAATGGACTCAGGTTGATGACGATAACGATCCTGGTTACGACCACAACTTTACGTACAATGAGATCCCTGGTCCAAAACATGTACCAAATTCAGACGCCAAGCCTATTGAATATTTCAATTTATTTTTCACTGTTGGACTGCTGAGCACATTTGTGCTGCGGACAAATCAGTACGCAAATCAGTACATAAATTCACTAGCCAACATGTCGCCTCAGAAGCCAGTAAATCTGACCGAAATGAAAGGGTTCATATAGCAGTTATTTTGAACATGGGCATTATCAGAAAACCAACAATAAGGAGTTATGGTCCACATGTACGTCTCAAGCAACCCCTTGGTTCTGTGAAATGTTTAGCCGGAACCGCTTTGAAAGCCTTTTGCAGTTCTTCCATGTTGCCGATAATAGAACTCTTCCGAAGCCTAACGAACCAAATTACAATCCCTGTGGTAAATTTTTACCAGTAATGGAGCATGCAAATCGTGTATTTCGAACCTACTACACACCGCATCGTGAACTTTCTGTAGATGAAAGCCTTGTAGGCACAAAAAGTCATTCAAAAATCCTACAGTACTTACCCAACAAACACCACCATAAATGGGGGATAAAATTGTGGATGTTATGTGATTCTGTGACAAAGTACTGCTTAGCCTTTGATTGTTATAAAGGTTCTAAAAGTAATGATGGAAAAAAAGAACATGGTCTGGCTTACAAAGTTGTGAAAAATTTACTTTTGATTTGTCAGTATTTGAATAAAGGTTACCACATATTCCTGGATAATTTTTTTGTGAGTCTACCGTTAGCTGAATATCTGTACAGTAAATGTACCTTCTTGACTGGCACAGTGCGAAGAAACAGAAAAGGGATTCCAGAAGAAATCAAAGAAAACCTAGATGTAGGGGAAAAGAAGTATGTGCGAAATGGGCCTAATTTATTTTTATCCTACCGTGAAAAGAAGAGCCAGAAAAAACCAGTGATTTTGTTGTCAACTAAGGGAACTGCAAAATCTGTCGAAAAAGTGAAGAGAAGAGGCAATGAAAATGTTATAAAAACAAAACCAGAACTTATCAACACCTATAATATGTACATGGGAGGCGTTGACTCATCAGATCAGATGCTGTATTGCTACCTGGATGAGAGAAGAACGGTAAAATATTGGAAAAAGGTAGTTTTCAATATATTTGCCAGGATGGTACTAAATGCCTACATTATATACAAAGAAAATTGTACTGGAAAACAGCTTACAAGACTGCAGTTCACTATTGAAATTGTTGAGGAGTTGGCTCGTGAATGGTTGAACAGCAAAGCTCGACCGCCCAATATGGCTGGCGCTGGTGGCGATGATGGTATGCAGAACCATTTTGGAATGGAATATTTACCAGATAGAAAAGAAAGGAATTGTAGTGTTTGCAGCAAAGTAAGCACAGCAGCTGGTGGCACTAGGAAAAAAAGCAGGACAGTCTGCATAAGATGTAAAAAAGGCGTGCATGCCGTCTGTTTCAATCAACACAAATGATAACTTTTTTATTTTTTTTATTGTTGTATATAGTAAATATTGAACTTTTATAAGTGTATAAAATAGTGTAAGTGCATAAATAGTGTGTGTAGTGACAGTGAAAACAATTTTTGGGAGTAAAGATGTCTTGTTTGCAATATGTCATTGATAGAGAACATTTTGTGATATTTGTTGGAAAGCCGCGGAAGTGCAGCATTTTCTTTGAACGAATTGTTCTTCATTATTTTCCAAGGTATGTTGATAATATTTATTTTCTATGTAGAGAAATAAATTTACTATCAGATGACAACAATATTGTGGTGATGGGAAGACTTTTATTTTGTGTTATCTTGGTCTACTTTCAAAAAATAAAAACAAAAATAAATAAAAATTAGTAAACTGACTAATTTTTTTTATTTTTTAAAATTATGTTTTGTTTGTTGTTACATATATTAAGTAGAGGAATTTTTGGGAATCAAATTTAAAAAAAAATTATTCAATTACAGTAATAAATAAAAAAGTTATAGCATTTTAAGTAAAATTCAGCGTTCCGCATATATTTTCCCTTGGGCATCTTGGCTACTCTATTAAAAAAGTAGCTGGGGTTAAAAGGGTTAACCTCGTCCCGCTATCAATTTTAGCAAACTTTAAACGCGATTTTGAGGGTGAAAACGGCGTTTCCCCCAAAAGTGTTAAATGTAAAAAGTGCTCAAAATAGTCTAATTTAGGTAAATAAAGTAAAAAAAAGTCAAAATAACATAAGTAGTAAAAACTCAGTTTTACCGAGAGTCGGTTGAGATCGAAACAGGTTTACAACAAACAGTGGAAGACTAGGCCTACCTAACCTTAGTTGCTACACGCTTCGCACAAGCAACTTGTGGAAAACTGGAGAACTGCTCCCTGGGTGAGACACCGGACGGTAGCCAATTCTTTGTAAAGAGTTTTGCATTTAGTTGTTAACTTTTACCTACACCTAGGCCTAACTTCATTGTAAGCTTTTGTACCTATGTAAGCTTGGGTGTAAATGCGGCTTAAGGCCTAAGTTAGCCAAATAAATAAACAAATTATGCCTAAATTGAAACAAAATCATTAATAGTGAGGCTAAATCTAGTCCAGTATAAGTTGGTAAAGAATTTCAGAAAGAGATTAGACTAAAGAGGCTAGGCCTAGTTCTGGATTTTAATCTGGCGAGTGTCCGTGTGTTTCAATTATAAAGGGTCACAAATAGGCCTAACAGGACGATCTTAGAGGATATGGAGTAATTTAAGAATTACTAGTAAGGCAGAATGTAAGCCTTTAACCCAAAAACTCGTTCAAGAAACGCAAACTAATCCACGTGTTACATGGAATGCAGTTAAGCCGATTACCAGATAACAAAATAAACAGGCTTAAATATAAATAACGTTCTATTACGCAAATCTTATACTGAAGAGGACTGAAAAAATATCGCAAATTACTTACCATCTTCAAATTATTGAAGTCCGATAAATTTTCAATGGAATTACTCACTCCTTAAAAACTAACCCTCACCGACAGATAGGTAGGTGGAATTAAGAAAGGAAGTAGAAATAAGAGAATGAGATGTAGAAGAAGAAAGGGCAGCATCGAAGGTAAAATATAAAGTTTACATTTGATATCCGGTGTATGTATAAAAGTTACAATACTGTATTTTTTTAAACGTTTTTATTAGCTCGCTTTCTTGTCCGGTACAAACTTTGCAATCAATTTTATACTAACTTCCCGATGAGCTAGAGACTTGAAACATAGCTCACAAATGGAAGACAATGCAATATTATATCATTTAATTTTCATATTTCCCTTGGGCTACGCCCCATGGGCTTGTTTTTATTAACTCGCAAATTTTTTTTATTATCTTGCAAATTTTGATGCTTCCCGATGAGCTAGAGACTTGAAACTTGAAACATAGCTCGCTAATAGATGACAATGCAATATTATATAATTTAATTTTCATATTTCCCTTGGGCTACGCCCCATGGGATTGTTTTTTTGTTTAGCTCGCTTTCCTACAAATTTTGATATCAATTTTAAACGAAGTTCCCGATGAGCTTGAAATTTGAAACATAGCTCACAAATGGATGACAATGCAATATTATATCATTTAATTTTCATACTTCCCTTGGGCTACGCCCCATGGGCTTCCAAATTTTCCATGTTTACATTTTGAAAGAATTTAAATATATCAATTAATTTAAGTCAGCTGTAAATACTTAAATTTGACAATTCGAAGACGAGAGGTTAAGAGGTAGAGGTTAGTCTATGTTTATAGTTAGTATAGGTAGGCCACATTCAATCTAATACATAATTATATGAAAAGAAACTCAAATAATCGTTAGATTTCCCACATGCCTCTGTCTTAATCTGATATAGATGCTTCAGATTTAACATCCGCACACATTAAAAACTAAAAAGTATAAATAAAAAACTTTTTAAAAACAAAACGTTTTTAAACGCACTAAAAAGTAGAAAATAATTTTTAAATATGGTGGAGAGTAGAAATACTTGTAAGATTTAAAACGAAAAACGTGGGGTGCATGCAATTGATAATAATACATTAGTTCAATAGGTTAAGGTAATTGTAAATTATCTATTGCATGCACCCCACGTTTTAGCGAATTTCCCTATAGGGAAGTAGCTATTACCGTAGGTCTCATGGTAAGACTTAGGCCCGGGACCGATTTACTTTTTCATTTTAATGTCCCCAGAGGCCAAAAACACCATTCGTTCAAATTTTTATATATGTATATATATATATATTGCGAGTCCCATGCCTCACTTTAAGTTTAAGTTTCCTAAATGTTACACTCGCTTAGCTTAGTGAAGAGGTGTTAGGTTAATGAGACATAAGACTGCTTAAGGGTGTTACTCAACGTGTAATGAACAAAAATTTAAATTTAGAAAAACAACAAAAGTAACAAAAAGTTACAACAGAAAAAGAAAACTAAGTAAAGGCAAAAATCAACAATAATAAGATAAATTAATTTACAACGTTAAATTTACAAGAAAAGAAAATCAATTGAAAATATAAAAGAATTAGTTACTGACAAATTATATGACTTTTATGTTTGACAAAGTGTTAGTTAGATATTTTATTCTTTCTACATACTGTCTATTGTCCCAGAAGCACACACACCGATACACGCACTCCCAAACTCCCGATCTTCTTTCTCCGGTGGCCCGTGGTGATCTCCTCGATGTTTTCCTTCAGATCCTCCAGCTCCAAGAGTCTTGACCCCTCCATCTTCATCATTAGCCCTTCTCATTGGCTGATTACCGATAGGGTGTGTGGCTTATAGGTTAACGGTGTTTCTTGGAAGTCAGCCCTACCGGTCATCGCCTAGCTCACATCAGCTGGGAAAGGAATTTGTAAATCGATGCTCATGCTACTGTTCAACTCTGTTCACACCAACTGGTCGACTAAGTGTAATGTGAACAGAGTGTCTGCATAGATGAGCACCGTGGGTACGGGGTTAATCCCCTTTCTTACACCCCCCTGGTTAAAACGTCAACCTACCACCGGTTGACAATAAAAAAGAAAAAGGACAACTTAAGGAGATACACGGAAACATCAATCGCGAAGGTGGGAATCGAACGGATATCTTGATGTGCGTTCCGACTCTTCTTCCCCCCTTCCTGCGACACGACGCGATCTTGAGGATCGGCGCATTTGCTTGTTTCGCGACCCTTCCAGCGACGCGGTAGAATGAGCTGGTGGTGTATAGCTCATAGTCGCTCACGTCTTCTTTCGCCCCATCGAGTCTCCTTAAGTTAATTGATTGTTTCATTAATTTTGAACTATTTAAATATTAGCTGTTTGTTAAGATATTTTTTTATTATTAATTATTTTTTTATGTTGAGATTATAAATGATTTATTCTGGGTAACACTTTATTATATTAATAGTCTTTTTGAGGGGTTTGAGGTTTTGTGAATAGATTTATTTTAATATTGAGTATGTGGATGAAATATGCTGAAATAATGAGCAAGATTGTTAATATTATTATCCAGACTAATGAAATGTTTGATGAGATTTAGGGATCGATTGGGTTATTTTAGTGGCGCAACAGAATGATATGGATTTATGAGACTTCATTAAATTATTCCGGTCACGACATGCGTTGGAATTTCCGCGCCAGCTGATAGAGTAGGTTGCCATATGAGAAGGATAGCGGCGAGCACAGCTGGGACGGTGAAATGGGCAGCATCACGGCGTCGGGGTTGAATGGACGGCGAGTGCTGACTATGCGATGGCGATGAAGTCATGTCGTGTTGCGGTGACCTTGTACTTGGTGTTGGCTTCAGGGACTCTTTAACTGCTGAAACTTACTTAACAGTGGAATTATTACATGTTGTAACAGTTTTATTCACAAATGTTGGTACTTGGTAACATACAATTTTAATTGATTCATATGCTTTCCCTACTAACACTATTTATCTACTTATTGTAATAAATATTTAGTTGTTTGAAATTTATGTTACATGGAACTTAAAATATGACACTTGGATGATTTTTGATGTTGTTAGACACATAGATACTATGTTCAAAATGGTATTTGGTACACAATTACTTTACGACGACACTTTGTTATAAGAGTTTTGAACATAAATGTTTTATTTTAATTATTTATGAATTCTTGCGTGAAAGTCCTTTCTTTCCTTAATAATCTAGAGAGTTGTAAAGAAAATTTTTTGAGTGAATAATTAAGGGTGATCAATCCTTAATTACTTCTCGTTGAGTGGAGTTTGTCCTTGTGCTGTACAAACCAACTTGTATGTCACTGAATGTCACTAATTATCATTCTTCTTACGCGCACTAGTTAACTCACTAAGTGTCCACGTATGTAAGTAAGTTGCTTGTTATAAGAACTAAGAATACAGTCACAATGTTAAACTTGATTACGATTGTCTGTGTGTGTCTGCGTGGCCACGCGATATCTTTGTATTAAAAGTCGACTTAACACTTGAGTTTTGTGTAGCTACACATTATTTACATAATATTTACACGAGTTTGCGGGAGTGCGTGTGCTTCGGGAATAGACGTACTAATTGTTTCTTAGAATACACATTGCTTACGTATGACTAACTAAACCTAAGTGAATACTAGGTAAGGTCAAAGCATATGAATCATATATATATTGTGGTTAATTATTTTGTGTAGCAATAAATCAAAATCAGTTAAATAGCTAACTTGTGAAATATATTTATGAATAATTGTATGTTACCAAAATTATCTTATAAAATAAACATAGTATCTATTGACCTAACGTAACTAAATATTTTTATTTTACAAGTCTTGTTTGAAAAACTTTCATTCGGGAGACATGAATTACTTCTTTGACAAGTTTTCCATTTTTTAAGATTTCCACTAGATAAGAGACTGGTGTAACTTGTTTTAATACAGTATAAGGACCTTTGTAGCGGTAAGAAAATTTGGTTTGATTTTCCCTCAAATTTTTAGGGTACCATATGAGAACTTGGTCTCCTGGGTGTAAGATTAAGTCTCTTCTATTCCTATCGTAATACATTTTTTGTTTTTTTTGTTCACTAGCTATGATAGAAGGTATTGTGTCCCTAATATCATTTACAATTCTTAAGTTTTCTAGCAGATCTTTTTCTACATTTGGATTTACAAACAAAGTATCACTTGGAAAGCTTGGCTCAAAGCCTAAAAATAAGTACGAAGGTTTGTACTTGGTTGTCTGGTGTTTACTGTTATTGTAAGCAAAAAGTACATAGTCAATGTATTGTGACCATGCGTTTAGTTTTTCAGCTACATAATGAGAAATCATATTTATCAACGTGTTATTAAAGTTTTCTACTTGTCCATTTACTTGTGGTGTGAAAGCACTACTTAGAATTTGGCATGTACCTATTGCTGAGGTTAAGTCACGAATCAAATTGTTGTTAAATTCAGTACCTCTATCTGATTGTATAATAGAAGGTGTTCCATAAGTACAAATTAGTTTTAAGAGACATTTTACGATTGATTTACCATCTGCAACTACAAGTGGGAAAGCAAATGCAAATCGACTACAGGCATCAGTTACTGTTAAAATGTATTTATATCTATTGCTAGGATTTAATGGACCAATTATGTCAAGTTGGATTCGTTCAAATATTTTGTTAGTGGGAGGGATAGGATTAAGGAAGCCATACTTCTTCTTCGGAGAGTTCTTTCTTTTCTGACAACTTTCGCAGGTTTTCACGTAGTTTTCGACATCTGTTGACATACCAATCCAATGATATCTTTCTTTGATTTTTCCGAGAGTCTTGAATGTACTTAGATGTCCTCCTGATAACGGTGAATTGTGGTACTCCTGAAGGATGTTGTTGACGAGTTTTCGTGGTATTGCTATAACATGTCTGTGAGGATCAGAATCGTTGTACATTCGGTAGAGTACACCATTCTCCGTCTTGTAATACGTGGCCATTTTCCTGTACTTTTGTTCCACAAGATCAGGATTTTCCAAAGCAAGTAAGATGCATTTTAGGTCATCGTCCTGAGCTTGCAATTTCTTCAAGTCCACGAGATGAAGGGCATTTACTGAAGTAAGGTTGAAAGTG